TTTAATTTTTTTTTAAGTATAGTAATACACTGTTTAAAAACTAGAAATGTTTGTCAATAATACCTATTTGACGTTTATTCTTCTTCTTTATATTCGACCATTAAAATCATACGTTCAAACATATATCTTGCCATTTCGTTTTCTCTATTCCCCTGTGGTTTCATCTATACACGGTCTGATTTTTTTTTTTTTTAATTTTCTGAACCACCATTAAATTTAATTGGCGACCCTTGCTATAGAGTATAAAGCAAGGGTTAGGTTAGGTTAACCCAAATGATCTTACGAGCTACTTTGTATATACATTACGATCCCGTGGGTCATATTTTTTTATTTTTTTTTATTTATTAAAATTGGTTTGGTAATTGTGTTGACTTTTCATCGGGCCACATATAAAATTATATTAGTATTAATACAATAAAAATATAAAAAAATACAAAATTTATTAACATAGATAATAATATACAATAGTTTTAATTAATTAATTTCATTATTTAGTGATATATTTTTTTGTAACTGTTTGATAAATCTCGCGAGCCGCAAAACTTATCAAGGCGGTCCGCGGGTTGGCCATCCCGCTCTATAGTAAAGACGCCACGTCTAACTGATATAGATGTTTCTTTCCGTATAAAGGAGGGAATAGCATCAATTGCCGACTATTGTGACCTGACTCGTTTTTTTTTACACTACGGATTAGAGAGTACGCATTCCAGTATTTTATCTATTTTAATTTATACAATAAACATTAATTCAAAATATCATTCATATGCTATTATTCTACATAAATATAATATTATTTGTGGGTTATTTTATACATTATAAAGGCGCAAAACCATTACAGAAATACTCATTCCTTAACTTCTACAATTGTTAGCCTGTCACCCATGATGTATTCATTCGGGTATAGTAGGTAGTTCTTAAACTAGTTTTATTCAAATTTCCTTAAAAACGGAAAACACGATTGCCCATGATTAATATACTTACTTAAATAAAATAGGTTAAAAATTGTTTTAATATTTTAGATTTCAAAAGAAATAAGGAATGTAATTATTTTACAATGTGTTTTTTTATCATCAACTTTTGCTTTTTAAGGCAGTATAAATTAAAAATGCTTCAATTTTAGATTTTGAGTGTGGTTTTTAGTAGAAAATTGCGTCTAGTTAGCACTTTGAAGTGAGGTCTCATAAGTAAAAAATGCACAGTCTTTTCATAAAATGACCAGGAAAAACAAAAAAAAGTTAAGGAAAAGTGGAAAATTTTACACAAAACTAGTATAAAACAAAATAAAATTTTTTTTTGTAATTTAAAAACAAATAATAATAAAAACTGATAAAATTTTAAAAATATTTAAATGTTTTTGGCTATTAATAATTATTATTAATTTTTCAATTTGTTTTTGTATTTTTCTTTAAATGTCAATAAAAAAATTATGGTTAGGTAATAGGTAAATTTTATTTATTTGCATTTAAATATATTATGTTTGACAATTTAATATGAGGTTACTCATACAGTCATAACTCATAACTCATAAGTTATTCATTCACCAATTAAAATATAACAAAAATGTAGTCATACATTTTTTTTATAAATTTTAATTGTTTAATAGTTAAAATTTTAACTAAATTCATAAAATCTTAACTATTTTAATATAATTTGGAGTTAAAAATTCATAAAATTTTTTTATTTTCAAAAAATGATTATTTGCTTATTTAACACGAATGATACAATTTTTAAAATATTTTGAGCTATTTATGGATGTATTCAATTTTATTTAATCTATAAATAATGATAAAAATTATTCGCTAGTTAAAAGCTCTTAAAAATAATAAATATTTAATAAGATCTGCATAATAGTGTTCCTATATCTAAACAAAAATATTAAAAATTCACAAGCACAATTTTTTTTAAATTCAAAATTTTACAAAACACAAGTACTTTATAATATAAGATTTCAGGTTTGAAAATATAATACAATATTCCTCAGAAGGTCATATTATTTCGACTAAAAAATTTAAAAATGTTACCATTGCAATTATTTTTTAATTTTTATAGATACCTAATTGAAGTTAAAATTTGGACAAAGTTGATGTAAATTATTTTGTAATAATTTCAAAAATATTATTCCTAGGTACTTTATGTATATTATGAATTTTACTTTACGAAATGACATTTTCAAAATATGTAGATTGTAATTTTTAAGCTATTATCTTTTTATACAATATGAATCTATTTATACTGTTATACGATAAGCTGCATTGACACAAAAGTTAATATGTAGTTTAGTAGTTTATATATTATGTACAATATACAATATAATATTATATATAATAATAAATAGTTTAATAACAATATATCTCTCGAAATATACCTTTGATGATTTTTATGTAGTATGTGTGTGTGTATTTTTTATCGTGTTTTCACTTTTTTACTCAGCTTAAAGTGCGATATTATTATGTATTTATGTAAGTAACGGAATGTCGCGTGATTTCCAAGTCGGTGGCGTGTCTGTTCGCAGTTTGTTTATAGGCATATTGAAATACTCGTCCCTGGTACCAACTACCGACGTTATATTATTTTGCTCTTAATTCCGATGAACTAACACACACGCAGACTCATTGCTGGATTTCACTTATCGTTATATATTTATATTTAATTATATTCCTAAACAAAATATATTGTAATTATATAGGTTGAATTATACTTACAATATGTAAAACTATGCAGGTAGGCAAGTATGTGAACTATATTATAAATATGCATGAATACAATAATTATAACAGTTATACGTACCGAAATGGCTATTTGGTAAATACTGAGTATTACGAGTAAATATAGAAGTGACGGTTTGTTGATTTTTACTTTTCGTAATTTACTCAATTCCTCTATTATGTAGCTCATCTGCAATAGGTTATTCTATTTCTCGAGTATTACACATTATTATTGTTTCAAATCGAGCGCGTACACTAGTACACTTGAATTATTTTATTAGTTGGATCAATTATTAATTCGAACAGCAATTCAACCAACTAACAACGGAATATTATATTATATTATTGTTGTGAACTCTGAAGTTTCTTGACCCATTATCCAGTTTTTTTCTATTAATTATTAATAAATTAAAAAGCGTATAATTTTATTTTTATTCTAGAGAATGAATAAAATGTACGAAAAAATAAATATAAAATTATGTAACGAGCGTTTTTTTGGTTTATTTTGGAAATAATACAATTGTGTCATGATAAAAATAAATAATATAATTATAATATCTTAATTAAATATTCTTGTTAATATTTTTAGTCAATCATTTGTGAAACAACAAAAAAAATGTTCATTATTTTAAAAACAATGTTTATAGTTTGTTGTTTTCTCAATTAGTTTTAAGTCATAAATTTGTTATTATACTTATATTGTATATTACTTGTATAGTTGTAAATGTATTGTTTTTAAAATTTCTAATGCATTTTGTTTATCATGCATTGCTTTCTTTCTCTAACGCAAGCTACTAGCTTAAAATAGATAGATAATCATATAAAATATTTGATATTTATATTTATTGTAAGTTATAATGTCAAATAAAAAAAAAATGAAAATAATTTATAACAATAATTATGAAACATAACAAATCTAAAGTATAACGATGTTTATAAAATTGTATATTTTGGAACAAAAACAGAAAATTATGTTTAGTATTTTCAACAAACTCAAATCAATATTATTACAAATCATATGCTTATTTTTGACTCAAGTCCATGAAACTTTTTGGGAATAAATAGGAATCTGAATCTATATTACTATTTACTTATAGTATTTATTCATTTAATATAATTAATTATTCTTATTCGTTACGACATATTATTTTAAAATATAATGTCCAACAATTAAATGAACATAAGCTTTGATATTTTTATTATGATATATCTACATAAGTCATATGTATTTGATATATTATGTAAATAAGTAAATATATTATTTATTTTGTTACAATTTTTAATATGACGTAGTATTTTATGTATATGACCACGCATGGTTCAAACTAAACATTCGTAGACTCGTAAGACTAACATATTTTTACATTTCATATGACGCTTATAGCTGAATTTGTTAATAGATTCTACATATTAATCATAAGTTTACAAACATTAACTATGAGGTAATGTATTAACTTACATTTTTGACTTGGATTTGTACTTAATTCTATGCATATATGTATGTATTCGTATTTATAATAATTAATGATATTTCAATACAACGAATTTCCATTTAATTTCTCTATGATACAATTTGTGTTTTGCCTACAAGGCTGTAATATGAAAATTTCACTGTATATATGCACCAAAGTTGTATTTAGAGTTATTCGAAAAATAAATTCTTATTTTTTTTAAAACGTTATTGTACTTCATCACGCCAACATCAAGTGTTAAAACCGGAAATGTTTTTTTCGATGTTGTCATAAAGAAAATAAATTATAAATATTAAGTAATGATATCACTAGTACTTTGTTGTAAAAAACGACACCTTTTACGTATATATCATTAAATACAATCCGAAAATCGACAGAAATTATATAGCTGGTACTGTATCCGTACAACTATATATTTATATTTAATTTTAATCTAAACGAAAGTAAGTCATGTCACACAATTTTTACTCTTCATAAAAAACTCTTCCTCAAATATTTTTTTTTTTAACAATATTCCTATTCCAACCAACATACATCTCAATTTTTAGGCTTAGTTATAGATAAACAACTAACATGGTCTCCACATATTCGTTCAAAAAAACTATTTTTAAAACCCCAATTTAAAATAAATTGCTAAAAATTCTTCTTAAGACTGGAAAAGTGTGCTAAAAGTTTAATTTGTCAAAAAGTGCAATATAAAGACATTATAAAAATAATCCGAATCTCCAAAACATTTTTTGCTTGCTGTGCTACGTTTTAAATCAATGGGATAAATAAATCAAATAACATTAAAACTCCAGCTCTAATAATCGTGTTTTTTCAGACATCAATTGAGTTAATATACAAGCAATCAGTGAATACGACAGTAAAACCTCGGTTCTGTATATGAATTGGTCGGCAAGTATTCGCTGAAAACGGGCGAGAACAAAGCAGCGTCCACTGGCTACAAATATTGCAGTGTTCAGAGCTGGTGTGCGACTGTGTCCGGCACTTTCATCACGGCTGATCCTATACGGAAATGCTAAATGCCACCGAATCGTTTACCAGTCGTGTCGGTCATCGTCGTTGCGTTCGCGTTGGCCGCGTCGTTACTGTCGTCTGCGCCGGGTGTAGTGCGAGCTGGTTTTGCTTGCCTAAGCAGTCCTTGCGTGCATGGCGTGTGCGTTGACCAGCTTAACAGGCTAGTATATAACACCATTAATACATAATAATTTATGTATATTGATAGCGAACTTGAAGTTAAAACTTGTGTTTACATGTTGGATGGTAGTTTTTTCACTCTTGTACGGAATGTTGTTTTATATATATGACCTATTAGTGTTAAAATTTACATACATATTTAATGAAATGAATTTATAACGGCGAGAGAGAGAGAGAGGTCCAAGAAGGGCCAACCGTAGCGAATGGCAAATAGGTAGGCCCCGCGTTTTTTACATAATAATTATGTATAATGACACGAACATACCTAGCGCACACAAAGTATTGGTACTATTATAGTTAAAACAAATAATTTCTAAATTAAATTGTTCAAATTTTCCTTTTTACTGTAAGAGACTCAGTATACTGTCTGTGTTAACATGCATGATTATAACATATGGATTTTTTTTCACATATCATAAATAAATAATTCTTGTTTTTAGTAGACCTTTTTTGATAAGCTATAAAATCTGGTTTTAATAAATTACCCACAATTACCAGATAGAAATATAATTTTGTCACACACTCACATATATTTACTATTACATTAATAAAACCAAACTTAGGCTAATGGGAGGGGGGAGAGGCCCCTCTCCTCCCTTAAATCAGCCACTGCCTCAGTACAATGACAATATACCTTATTTTTTATATATTAATAAATATAGAACAATTCAGAATGAATACTTAAAAATAATTAATTCTATGGAATGTATAATAAATAATTAATATTCATATAATATAACTGATAGGTACGTATTATAATTTATAATGATAACTAATTATTAACTATTAATAATTAATTTCAATCTATGTAGTAATTATTTTTTTTTATTGATCGATTTACACCTTTAAGAGAACATCACACCTGCATGTGTTGTCTCCGTCTTACACAAGTACGATATAGTAAATTTTTGTTCATCAGTTTCAATAGTATGCTTTTAGTTTTGATATTAGAATAAATTTACCTAATATCAAACTTTTAGGTAAAAACATTATTTGTGTTCTATCGTTGGTTTTTTACGATATTTTAGTTTCAAGTAAGTTATGAGTATGAAAAATATAAATAATATTTTAAAATACATTATTCGTGGGAACTTAAATTTTTCATTTATTTTATACTATTATGAATAATTACACTACACATAATAAAATTTTTGATTAATTTAAAAATATTATTTATTTATAGGTATTATAAATCTATTTTTACTGTTTTACGGTATTTACAGAAGTATGTTATTACATTCTTGTAGTATAAGCTAAAATGCTGTAGTGTAAATATATTATAATAATAGCTAAATACTACCTAATCATTTAATAAATACAATATTTTCTAAAAAAATTATATAAACCTACTACAATATTAAAAGTAAAATAAATGACTATATCAAATAAACATATTACGGATGATATAGGAATAGGCTGATAGATTGTTTCAGCTCAAAATCATTTTCCGTGTATATAATACAATAATATATTATCATTAAATTCAAATTTAACATAGTTGAAGCTCGCACTCGACACCCATTATACAGCAGAATAATACACACTTATAGCTACATTTTTTTTTTCCCAATTCTAAAATAAATATTAAGAATTTTTAATTTTGATCTGTCCTCCAAAGTACTAACTAGATACAATTTGCTATCCAAAACCAATCTCAAAGTTGAATATTGAAGAATTTTATCAACTATTTATTGCGTACACATACACACACACAAAAATTAAATATATCATTGTAAAATCAATACATTCATCGCTTTGCTCAGAATCCAAAATTCTATAATGTCGAACATCTATAAATAATAGTTGCATAAAAACAGTCAGAATATTTTGAAAATTTTATGTCTAATAAATAAATAAATAAATAAATAGTAATATGAATACAATATTTTAACAATTTCAATTTTGTTAAAGGCTATTTCTTTTTTTCTATTTTTTTTGTAGCTTATTAAACATTTTTCATTTTCCCACTCCGAAAGTTAAAAAAAAAAGTGTAAAAGTGTACATAGACAAACATAAAACCAATATATTTATCACTTGGTTAAGAATGTAAAACACCATATAATGATATAACTCATAATTCATAAGGGATTGATTATTTTATATTTTAAGTTATTTTTTGTTGATTAATTGAATTAAGGTTAAACAAACATACGGTAAATTTATGATTGCGACCTTTATTGCGTTATTGCAGATAATTTTACTATTTTTGTTTTTTTTTTGGTTTTAGAGGTTCCTTTTTTTCTCCATAAATACGTCATTGTACTCATCTGAAAATATCACATCGCGTGTTGTTTTTAACTTGTAAATAATATGAAAACATTAAATTTTATCTCGCGTGGTAGGACACAGTAAATATAATTTTAAAATTCTTAAAATCCTCACTATTATTATACGAGCTTGTTTAAAATGTGGTAAATTTCTTTTTGGAAGTAGGTTCATAAATGATAAATTTAATTAATATCACATTAACTCGAAGTATTACTCAATGACGCATCATTCTAAATTTTAATAATATTTTTAATTTTTACAGTACATACACTTGTTATTGTATTGATGGTTATACGGGTGTCCGATGTCAGACCAATTGGGATGAATGCTGGTCTTCTCCATGTCTTAATGGAGGTCTGTGTCTCGATGGTATAGCTGATTACAATTGTTCGTGTCCTGAAGGCTATACAGGTAAATAATAATATTAATAATTACTTAATCATAGTGGCGGATCTAGGATTTTTTTATGGTGGGTGCTATATTGTTAATAATATTCCTTAAGAACTTATTATGTATAATTTGGGGAAAAAATAATTATTTGGTACTTATACAGTGAGGAAACTCAGTGTTTCAATGTGCATTTATTTTGAATTTATTACATAATTAAGCAATATGAAAATTATAAGCAATTTAACATATATTATTTTTTAATAATTAGGTATACTACAATATAATGTAATATTATATAACTTTTTGTTCTGGTAACCCGTACCAAAAATTTGCTACTCGGCGCATTATTAGTAATTTTTAATAAAAATTCTTGGAACGGTAGGTACTGATTTACTCTAGCACCACCTCCACCTAAATCCGCCACAGAATAGTCGTATTATTAATATTGTTTGTACTGCGTCAGTGTCGTAAGCACATAATATTATAAATTAAAATATAAATAAATTCAATTATACGCCCATGGTTATACTAGGTTTAATGTGGTATGTATATAATAGGTACAAATATTTAAATTACATTGGTCGATCGCGAAAATGCTGAAGAAAAATTGTTAAATTGTTATTTTAAATGTTTTGAGTACTATATAATCTATGCATATTATTTTATAATTTTTAATGAGCTAATGAGCAGCGTCACAACTCATAACAATTTACTTAATGGCAGGTTCTAATATTAATTACCTTTTTTGACCGCTTGAACCGAAGACTGGAGGATAAATCGTATTTTTTTTCTTACAGAATGGGACTAGTACTACACCCTATATTTTTAAACTTTGAATGTTATTTTTTTATTTGTTCATGCCTCAGGACACGACTGTGAACTCAACGTTAACGAATGTCTGTCAAATCCGTGCCAAAATAATGGAACTTGTTTGGATTTCACCAATGGATTCACATGTCAATGTCCCGTCGGCTACACTGGTTAGTTAAAATTTTACTTTATCTATTTCACGTTTTATTTTACAATAGTCACTCGATGATTCGAAATTCAGAGGACCGAGTTAAAAATACGATTTATAGAGGTTTTCGATTTACCGAATATAAATCGAAAGGAAAATTTATTGTACGTATATAATGTATATGTACATATTACATTTATTTATTATATTATTATATTTTACATATTAAAAAATCTGTTATTTATTTTTTTGTGATCAATTGCTGGCCACAATTTTGTCCATAGCGTTGTCTAACTTACTGATAGCATTAAAAATTGTATCATAATTGTGTCCATTTCAGATTGGTCAAAAAATTGACGTGATCCTGGAAAAAGTTTAGATTAGGTAGGTAAGATACGATAACGTTTATCAACTACGATAATATTAAACCATTGTCGTTATTAGTTTCATTACGAGTACCGGAATATGTCAAATAGATTGTACGTAATCTTTATATGTATATACATTGTACATACATATGAACTTACATATAATCGTATTTAAGAGAATTTGAATTATAGAGGTTCATGAAATAAAAATTCAAATTATGAAGTGTGTCCCACCGACAGACATTTCGAATTATCAAGGGGACCAGAATACATGTATTTCTTTTAATTATAGAGGTTTTCTAAAAGGACTTAGCGTTTAGTTTGATTTATGAAGTTTTTCGAATTATCGAGGTTTAAATTAACGAATAACTACTGTATAATGATATAATTTTAAATGTGTATTGCTCTAGTTTTTATGCTTTGAAAAATTTGTTAGAAATAAAAAAAATACACGTAAACAGCTTATTTTCTTATAAATATTCCATATGTATATTTACTTATAGATTTGTATAATAATTATGTTGTTTTAATTTTTAGTATTGAATATTCTTGAATATATTTTATTATGTATAGGGAGTGGTTAGATGAACACAAAAATTATTATGCCAATAATGTTTTTTTTTTTTTTATTTGTAGTAGGTACCTATAATTTTACCTACAATTTTGAACAGTGACAGTAGGATACAACATACATTTTTATTACATAATAATTTATTCATAATATTATAACAAGTATTTTATTTTATTGATAAGAATGATAATGTGCTTGCTATCTATACAATAATACTTAATGAATAAAATGTTTACCGTAATTTATATAAATTAACATTGTATTGAAATAGTATGAACAAATATTAAAGAATAGCTGTATAGAAAATATAGAAATATTTGTAAAGCAAGGGGTCATTTGTAAGAAAATGTTTTAATTAATTAATTAATTAATTTACATTTTGTTGGTAGTGGAATAAATCGGGCTCCTGTAAAAGTTTCTGTTCGGCACATAATAATTAATAGAAAATAAATCACTTATATGCAGCAAAAAACGACTATATGTGTAAGCTAATAACACACACACACATTAAACCTTATAATTTATAAGTGAAAAAATATTAACATAGTGTAGTATTATAATACGTTACCTTAATGAAATAGAATAATTCTTTTTCCATTTGATCTATCCATTATTTATTAATTTATTATCTGTATCGAAATATATTATTTTTATCATTGAAGAATAACCTATTTAAGCATAAAGCTTATTATTATTTAAATATATTGTGATGAACCTCGTACTTCATTATACGCGAAATGATAAGTACATATATTAAATGTACATATTATTTTAACTTAATATACACTATCTAGTTATTTTTTTTACAAATTAATTTACTTTAACGAAATTGTCAATTATTTACGTTTTCAGGGACAAATTGTGAAATCGACTTAGCTGTATGCAATTCAACAGGTGAAATACTATGTAAGAACGGCGGCGAGTGCATTGAAGGTCCCGGTGTGTCTTTTTCGTGTAACTGCTCGCCAGGTACATCTCATTAATAATGTTTAGTTGACAATTATATACATAATATATAAATTGTTGACAGACTGTCTTAGTTAGAACATATATGTGATATTTTCATTCAACATCTGCACATCAGTATTGCACACTTTTTTTGTATATTAGTGAAGTAATAGTATAATTTAGGTTAGGTAACTATAGTAAATAATAAATTTAATCTTTCCTTAACGGACACCTTCATATAGCAAATACCTCCAAATAGAAAATATTTTTTTGGGAAAGGGAAAATTTTCACTTCTTATATATATGTAAAACTCTAAATACGGGACACTCTAAATAACGGACATTTTTATGGCTAGATTTTGATAATTTTTATCGTAATTATCATCAAAGTATACTTAATTATAATGTGCATTTTTCATTTTTACACATTATATTATTATAGTTATATTATCCGTCATAAGAAATGACTATTTTATTCGGTAACTGATTTTATCTTAAATATACTTATATGTAATAAGTATATTTATACAATATACATTTAAATAATACAAATTTCTATATGTGTATCATTATTTTTGAAATATTTTGTTTATTTTTTCATTTACTTGTCCACATTTTCAAATTGTGGACAACGTCGGTAACCGCGAATGTCCGGTAGTTAAGACACTAACTGTTTCACTGTATTTATTAGTACCTGATAAGTATATTATAAGTACATGTTTAATTCTATGCATAAATAGAAACAAAAAATTATATTATTTACAATTATTGATATAGTTATACATTATATTTAATAAGTATGACGTTACTACAATTGCAATGTGTGTATCGTCGTTCCGCAATTATATTATACTTGATCGTTTAGTATTTTTTTTGTGCTACAACACAATAAAATAACATGCAAATTTGTGCAAATGTGAAACGGTATTATTTTATAATGTATAATTGTTAAATTTAATAGTTAGCATAAGGATTTAGTTTTATTTTTTTGTATTCTTTTTGTAAAATACTATAGAAGTTGTGTTAAATTATTACATAAATATGATATGTCATTATTAAAAAAAACATGGAAGGGAGATACGATATCCAAATCTTTCCTATAAATACACCATAGCGTAATTATAAAACTAATTCAAATCTTATGTTTAAGTATATTGTGTGTGTAGAAGGGAAATAAGTTATAGTTTTCAGGAAATTCGAACATATTTATATACGATGTAAGGAACAGATTTTTTAAATTCGTATTTCACATTTGTATTTTTGTACTGTGTACTAAAAATAGGGGTTGACTGCATGTATATAAAGATATCGTATAATAATTATGTTTCAGGGTGGAGTGGATGGACTTGCGAGGATGAAATCGACCAATGTGACTCTCGTCCATGTAAGAACGGTGGCCTGTGCATCAATAGGCAGACGACGTATTCATGTGCCTGTCTTTTTGGTAAATAATTATAGACTATAAATAGTATGCTTATTAATTAAATTATTGAGTATTCGTGATGATGATTTATGTAATATTATACCTACAATGGCACTGGCTTATGCAGGTTACACGGGTCGTGACTGTGATGTGACACTACGTCTGTGCGAAGAACATGAGTGTCAAAATCATGCGCTTTGCTTAGTCGAGGACCAGACATCGGTTTGTTATTGTGTTCCGGACTACCATGGTAAATACTGCCAATATCAATACGACGAGTGCCAACTAGGAATAAGGTAAGATAATATTTAAAAAAATATATCATCCTGGTATACCTACGCTTTGTAGAGCCATATAAATTTAATTTTTAAGAAATAAGCACATCGCTAATTATACCAGGTTGAACATTAAGGTATATCGTATATATAGGTATAAAGAAGTAATCAATATTTCTCACTAATAAACATAATTATAATGGTGTTAAATCGTTTTACAATTTATTATAAAATATCCATTCCTATATATATAAATGTCATTGTATTAAATGACAATTTATATAGGTAAATACTTGTTCGTTGTTCCCACTTCAATTATGATATCAAGAGAAAAAATAATCAAAAAAATAATATATTGAAATTTCATAATATTTCATCACACCAATTCGATTAATTTTTGATATAAACAGAAATAAAATATAATGATAAATTACTGCATAGGTATAAAATAAACTTACGAGGTAGTGGTTTAAACAAATATTGAAGTTGTTGATTTCCTACTTGTCGTTTTTCGCTAATTTTTGTGGTTTCACAAAAATACTTAATCAAAAAACCACGAATTTTTAAAGAAACATTGAAAAAACAAGTTTATTATTCAGTTCATATCGGTTGTTTTTTTATCGATATTTTAATTACGAAGGAAGTTTTGAGCATTTTAAGAGGCTGTAAATTGTTTGTAATTTTTAAAATGACCTTAAATTGTCTCAAAATTACAATGCCAATAAAATCCCCCGAGAGTCTCTAAGTAATAATCTTACCTTTCAATTGTATAAAAGTTCAGTTGACTCTGATTTTAAAAATAACCGAGTAATACCGTTTATTGCGAACGTAAAATTTGCTGCGCTGCACGTCTGCAAGACGGAGACGACACGCGCGCGCGCGCGCGCGGCGTGCTCATAATTATTATTATTATTCGCGTGATTCAAGATGTGACAACGGCGGAACGTGCGTGGACGGCGTGGACGGTTACACGTGCACGTGTCCGAAAGGCCTGACGGGCCAGTCTTGCGAGTGCGCGTTCCTGGACGACCACACGGCCAATTGCACCGGCGTCGTGGTGCCGTATTACACGTCCAGCGGCGCCGAGGAAACGACAACCAACACCGCCGCCGTGACGATCACCGCTCCGGCCACCCAGGCGGACGGCGAATATCCGACGTCGTTCGAGACTGCGTTTGGGACGACGACGTCGCCGTCAGACGGCACCGGTTACTTCAGTATCTTCGTAGCCGCGACCACAACTGCGTCGGACCGTCGCCCAGCGGCCGCGTCCACCGAACTGGCGCCCGAGCCACAGCCGTACACCGCCTACACGGATGCGAACACGGCCAACACGGACGATGACGCGTACGACACGACCGTGACACAGCTGACCGACGCGGCGCGGCCGGCTACGGGTCGGACGTCGTCGCCGGACAGTGTCCACGACCCGGACGCCACGACCACCGACTACGACGGAGCGACCAACACTTACGAGTACGACGCGCCCGCGATCACGGCCAGTCGGCGGTCGACCACTACGGCCGCTGCGGCGGTGGCCAGCCGACCAGCCACCGGCATCACAACGGACGCGACAAGCGCCGCAGCGGATAGACCAAGATCGATGACCACCACCACCACCACCACCACCGCCGCCGCCGCGCAGTCCTCAAGATCGACGATCAATTACCGACAATCTGTGGTCACCGAACGAGACACCGGTACGTCGTTCACCGAGTTCTACGACGAAATGTCCACGGATTTCGATTACAACTTCACCAGCTTCGCAGTCCCGGTCACCGATCGCGGTCCGAGTGTTCTGGACCGGAGTTGCGCCAACGTTTTGTGCTTGAACGGAGGACGGTGCGAAAAATCGAAAACGGGACACAAGGTGCGTATTATTTTTAACATACGTACTGCCCACGCGAATGGAAATATCGGGAAAAAATATTCATCACAGTTCTGCGACGAAATGGCATGTTGCAGGTGTGCGGAAAACAAAATTGTTTTTATTTAGATATAAAGAACCTATGTAGCTACTCGTTTTCCATGCATTCCGGGTTTTTATTTGATTTTACGTGTTTTATTTTTTATTAATTTTACACAGCATTATCTCCTTTTAGTCAAAAATTGAAAAATGACGACAATACTTAAAAAATCCCTCGTAAGCTCATTGTTTTTTTGTGGATAAAATCAATAGTTAATAATTTACAGTTTTCACCAAAGCTTTTGGTAAAGATCAAAAATATAATATGACATTTCATGTGCATAAATAATATTATGCGACGACATCATATATATTTTTTTAAATTTTCATATTTAATAATATCATTAAAAGAATAATTTTACTCGTTGTATTCGTAAGTAGAGCAAATTAACATAGCCATAACTTTTTTATATTCCTGTTTTGTGTTTTTCTATTAACACGGAATGACTTTAATAAGATTGCACCAGTGAACTAGGAGAATTTTATTAGTATTGTATTCTATCGTCACGTATCCATACCACTGGTCATAATAATATGTGTTAAATACATAAATTACAGATCTTCACATTTATACGTATACTTACTAATATTTATTTTTAGTGCAAATGTACGTTTGGGTGGAAAGGTGAAATATGTAGTGAGAAGATCGATATCAAGGTATCTGCGTTTACTGGACAATCGTTTCTCAGCCATCGACTCTCTAATCGTTCTGGTGCCGAAATATCAATGGAAATAAGAACTCTAGCGCCAAATGGAATTTTATTTTATGCACAAGTCACCACGCACATGTACATGTGCCTTTATTTACAGGTAAATAATAATAGTTAATAAATACATATATGTATTATAGAACAAAAATTCATTTATAAATTTAATAATGCTTAATTTTATACAACAAATTAAATTAATTTAATCAAATATTACATTATACAAATTACAAAATATATTTATCAAATTAACCATACTAATACTTATTATTAACAATATTATTGTTAAATTTAACGAAATATTATTAAATATAAATCTTATAATAAATATTAATAAAAAAAAAAATTAGTTAAAAGTATGATTTATAGCCTACCTAATTAAGTATATTTCTACAGGATTTCAATTTTTGTATGGATTTAATTAATTATACGGTTTCAAACATCAAATAAATACCTAATTGTTAAACATTATAAATAAATTTAGTATACTATATTTTAAAACTATGTATGAATATAATAAAACTTTATGAAACCTTGCTATTACCTATGTATTTTAATTATAATGTGAAATTATATTGATCAAGTGAGGGCATACCACTGAATTTTTTGCTTACATTTGGTATGATTTCATAATATATATAGGTATATAAATATTAAATATATAGGCATGTGATGAACTTAATATATCATGAAGATATATACAATTAATGTAGATGAATACATTAGATACACACTAATCGACAATATATATATGCGATTTAAGGTTTCATAACACACGAATTGTAAAAATTGCATTGGTCAAATAACGTTTAATGTAATATTCGTTGCTAGGTACTCTAAACGGGTTAAATGCTTGAAATTCAGCACCACTTTTCAAATTAAACAGTAGTCGATAAGTGTTAGGATAGATTTTCCAGAGTTAAGCAAGCAGACAATAACAAGAACGAATCCTACTCTAGTGGAAATTCGAGCGGCGCTTAGAATAATATTGCATTCAAATTTTTTGCATTTTTATTCCGATTTTTTTTTTTATTTATTTAAATTTGATTAATTAATTGACATTTTCGTTATCATTAAATTATTAAATCATTATCGTTATTATTAAACTAAGTATATCTTAATTATATTCAATAATAACCATTTGGTTAAAATAATTTAATTTTGTAAATTCAACAACATAGGTATATACGTTAAATTAATAATGTATTTGACAAAATTAACAAAATTCTAAGTTATTTTAACAAAATTTCGATAAAATGTATTAGTTGAACTAAACAAAAAAAATTATTAAATCAAATAATTTGTTAATTTTTATTTTAATAAATATCTCATCTTAGTATCAATAAGTATTTTGTTGACTCAATATTAACAATGATATTATTGATTTAATCTATATTTTTGTTAAAATTACCGGTATTTTTCGTTCAATGATAACTATTAAAACATAAAATGAATATAATTATAGAAAAAAAATAAATATATTTAAGTAAAATATAATGACATTAATTTATCTTGTGGAGTTCTATCGATGATGGCGATATCATATAAACTGAAAATCAAATAATAATAACGTTCTACATAATATAATTGATTACAGGATGGTTTGTTAAAGTTTCAATTCTCGTGTGGAGTGCAAACAATGTTATTCAGTGAAACCAGATACCGAGTGAATACAGGCCATCGTTTACTGTTAACAGCCGCGTAAGTTTAAAATGTCTAGATCAAATGGAACACCAACCAATAAGACGAATAGCGCAGTAATTGTGGGGGAAAAGGTATAATTTTGTTCTCCCAGATATGCTAGCAGAAGAAATCTTTAAATATTATAAAATAAATAATGAATGCATTTAACATATGTTAATATATATATTTATTTTTTCCCAAATTATTGCATAACAATTTACATTTATTTTACGTTTTTCTTGTTTTTCTTTATGTAATCTGTTGATGTACTATCAACGCTATAATATTATCTGGGTTACTCGATAATATTATTTTATGAATTATGATGGTTATAGAATTATCATCATATCTATTATTTTTTTTCAAAAAAATTAGTTACGCTTTTTTTATGAACTCTTATGTAGGTATTTAATATTATTTAACAATATCGGGTGCCTACAATTTTTTTTTAACCCATAAAATAAGTTCTAAGACTTAAGTAAAAACAAACAATTAAATTAACTTAATTAGGTTATGATTTTGATTTCTTTGAATAGATTATTTTTCTACCTTAGTTTTTTACGCAGTTACGCCACTAGAGTAGTGTATATGTATATATATTATATACCAATAAAATAAACTAACTGTTTCTAGATTGGAGCATGCTATGTCACATTCTATGTCCGATCACTGTAAGGCGTCACTTAGGGTTAACGAAACGCTGGCTATGAGCGGTGAACAAGCAGCAGATACAGCACCGGAGAAAGCGAAAAAAGTAGCACTGTTATACTTGGGAGGACTTCCAGCAGGTCAAAACGCCACAGCAGAACTTCCGGTGGCAGTAGGAATCACTGGTTGCATATCCCGTCTACAAGTAAGCGAGGTTTAGACTATCTACAAATTACAATATTTGACTTTATAAAGCCAATGGTATAGCGACATTTGTTATTTTTATAATAATATAATTTACCTATCTATAGATTGACGAAGTCGTTCACAACGTATACGGAAATGCCACCGACGGATATGGTGTGATCGAATGCGCTTCGCTGACATGCTTGTCCAGTCCCTGTCAAAGCTATGCTACATGTGTAGAGTTTGGAGACTCGTGGAACTGCCTATGTCCTTCAGGGTGCGTATAAAATATAATAAAACCGGTTTGATATCAATTATAATAATCATACTTCCAAAACGATAATTTAAATTTTACATGATAAAGATCTAAAATAGCTATTATTAATACAATTATTATAACGTCAATAATTAATAGTATAATAGGTAAATGTTTACATTATCTATATATGTCACGCCCAAATAGCATTATGTGATTGTAACGTCGTATTCATTTGTGACACTTTAACTAGGTAGAGAATGATGATAACATTAATTTTGATAGGTTGTAACACATTATATACTAATAATAATGAATAATAATTATATATTAATTGACTTAAAGATTTGTTGGGAAGAATTGTGAACGGTCAGTGTGTGAAAACAACCCATGTAAGTTTGGCGCCACGTGTGTGATTTATCCCGGAAGCGGATTCATTTGTTTATGTCCACTTGGAAAACATGGAATGTATTGTGAGCATGGTAAGTTATCATAAAATTTCCATTATTTATTGAATATTATTTATAAGTTTGTGTAAATATATCGTTAATTAATATCGAAAATATATTTATAAAATGTTCTTAATTTTTGATCATCGACTGTCAAACATATTTAATAATAATCTTAAGATTATGTGTTCACTGTTACAAATTATAGTCAGTTATGTCTCGGTAACTATCACTAATGTAACGATCACTAATGCATGTATACTAGATAGAAAATTATCTTACTATTTAAATTTCTATGTTTATTAATAATCATGTTCAAATTGTTAAAAAAAAAAAAAAAAAAAATCTTAAAATTTAATTTATCTTTAATAAATGTTCGTTTAGATCTTGAGATTGGAGAACCGTTTTTCCCAGGCAGCGTTAGTGGACTTTCGTCGTTTGCCTCATATTCTATACCAGCTGAGATCCATCAAAGTTTCGAGCTGTCAATGCATTTCGTGCCGAATTTTATGGACCAAATCGCTCTGATGATGTATATAGGTCACGACGCGTCCACCGATCACGTAGCTTTGAGTTTTATCAAGGGATATATTGTGCTGACGTGGAATCTCGGTGCCGGTGCTAGAAGAATTTTCACACCAAAACCAATAAACTTTCAGCCAAAAAGGGCGCACGTCGTAAAATTGGGCCGAGACGGAAAAACCGCATGGCTCATGGTGGACAATTTCCCGAACGTCACCGGTCAATCAGTCGGACGTCTTTCTCAACTTAACACCAAACCTGTGTTATACCTTGGTAACTGCGTTACATATTATATATAATGCGTACCAGTTGTCTTCTATTATATTTAATGCCAATATTGTGTAACCTCATGCACACTAACCGTACCTGCTGTCCTGCTGATATACGAGCATTTGAATAAAATTGTTACACTGATCACTAATGAATGATATCCGAAGCCCAATAATTATGTTTATCATAAATACTTAATATTTTTGATACAAACTTTTACTTTCCATTCATACATAATAATAAACGAGTTGTAAAAGCTTTAAATCATCACGATTAGCAACAAATTATTTTTTGTGCAATATTTTATATTAAATCAATAAATACTAATAATTATATTACAATAATAATTACCTAGATAGTAAACTAATGATTATATATTTTTTTTATTTTAAATAATTTAAAATATTGATAGTTTTATAGAAGTTATTAATATTACCTAATATACCTATACCTATTATACTAATATTGATAATATCCGCCGTACAAATTAAATAAATAAGTTATTATTTATTATTACACTAAGATAAGTTGGAATTTTAACAATTCCCATTTATTTGTATATGATTTATTCGATTAGCACTTAACATTTCAAAGTCTGACTGTTTTCCTACACTCGCATTTATGTATCTATTTGTTTAATGCTTTGCAAAACTGCATAAATCCTCCATCAATACTAGGTTTATATTATATTATTATCATTGTTGTCATTGTTTTAAAATAATCAAAATAGAATAAAATTATGATTAATAATATACTAATTATCATTTGCCCGTAATATTTACACAGTCCAGACAGTCCAGTTATACAAATATCAAACTTTTCGTTCCTTTGAGTTTTTACTTTTGTAAGTAATGTTAATATTATCATATCAAATCACTGAACAATCAAGCATACACTGAGACATTAGTAAATGTCTATAAGTTAATTAAATAGTAACTTATGTAAAACTATTTCATATAAAAAACTTGATTTTACTTTAAACACTCAAGTGAATTTTCTTCACTTTTTAGCCCATTTTTTCTAATTTTCATACTTCAGCCACAAGGAAAATAATTTTTGCTCGTCAATTTTAAAACAAATAATATGATTTTTACACCTAATCCCACTATATATTTATATTATGTGTCTAGAAAAATGTTTATTGTAGTAAAAATATATCTATTTATCATCATCCTAGGTGGCCACGAGTCTCCTGGAATGGCTGACCTACCACACGACTTGCCGCTACACACTGGATTCGTTGGATGCATGAGCGAGGTGAAGCTGAAGGCTGGTCACGTAACTGTCCCGCTGAGTCTGTCACGTGCATATTCTACAGTAAATACTGGTAGATCCGTGTCTCAGTGTTCGACTAATGAGTGTTATCGAAACAACATATGCCAACACAATGGTGCGTGCATTCAGCACGGTTCTTCGTTAGCGTGAGTGTTTTCATTTTTACGTAAATTTTATAGTGGTATTTTTATTGTTGTGATTTCACCCATTCATTAATCACTTTCCCTCCTACTCATAATATGTTAAATCTGTACTACATCAAACTATATTATGGTTTATAATTTATGGGCAAATTCATGAAAAAAATAAAAAATATTTTATTATTTTAAACTTAGAAGTGTTAATAAAAATAATTTTGATAATAATTGTCATCAAAATCACGGAAAATTATTCTATCATTAAATATACAATTTTTAATGTTAATACCTCGATTTAAAAATTGAACACAAGGTTTCTCGTAAGTTATACACTTTTACTTACAAGAGTTTAAAAAAAGTCAAACATAACTCAAAATATATAATGGTTATAATACCTCAAATATTTTTTAGGAGCCTCTGAAGTTTAAATTTGACATAATTGGGTATTCATGATTAAAATAACGATTTATTATAAAACGATTTTCTGATTTTATTGTTATTCAAAAATTAATAGCCAGCGACAGATACTTAAAGTATTACTATATATTTTCATATTATAATATAATTACTACTCAATTTTGAGGTACATTTGACATCTATTGACCTATTGTACAGCAGAGCCATCACTTACTTTCTCACTTTTTAAATTTATATTCCTGTTTTAAAATATTTAATTAATGCAACCCTAATATAATAATATATTAGCCAACTGCTGCTTATATGCGTATTGATTGGTATAAAATTTAAACACTATAAATTTTTGAGAAGGTATAGGAAATAATTAAGGAACTATTACGCGAGCTGGAACTAGGAAAAAGGTTTGAGAAAGTAAGTAAGATGAATCGACTTGCGTAAATAACGCATGTTATATGTCTAGAACAAAAAATGAAAGTCAAAATACTCATATAGACATGATCTATAAAACGTCACTAAAATAATTCAAAAATTTTATGTTGAACTTGCTTAAGCGTAATTATAATTATTTAAAGGTAATTTTAGTGTCTTAAATGACAAAAATGTATTATTATATTAGTTAAAAAGTAAAAGGAGATACTAAATTAAATTCAGCAAACACACGTTTAATATACCTTAAAGTTTTAAGAGCGTTGTAGCGTAGGTACAACGCAAGTTAACATGCAAGTTAGAGTTAAATGTAGGTCAGAAGATAAATTCGTAGTTCAATGTAAGACTTCTAAAGCAACAATTAAATCAACCCATCTATTCCATAATTTAACTCAAAAATTATACATTAATTATTTATTCTTGTATTTTAAAATTAAGGTACATCGCAGGTATTTACACTATTTTTTTTTTCACTAAACAGAAAACCTTATAATATTAAAATGTAAAAATTTTACAAGGTTTATTTAAAAACATATTGATGTTTAAAATTGTTGGGTATTTATTTTAAAAAAAAGATCATTAACTTTAAATATGATTGATGTATTGAAATTTTTATTTATTGCGTTTTCGAAAATATTCACTAAAATTTCTAAATTATGCATCAGATATAGTTTATCGGTATACCTAATACAAAACACAAAATCGAACGGACAAAAAGATGCGACTACATAAGTAATAGTAATACATATAATAATCTGGTTTATTAGGAATTAAATTTACAATTAAGATTAATATGCATTTAATAGGTGAAACCGTTGAAACATATATAAAATGTGCAAAATACAATTAGTTTTATTTCAATAAGAATGATCTAAATTGGGAACAATTCTCATCAGATTTCCAAAACTTTATTCCAATACATAAAAATCCGGTCCCTACTGATAAATATTAAATGAACGACGCCGTACATATTTTTTAAATATTCTGTAAAATGTTTATTACGACGTACAACAGTCCGGCAAATTAGTCATATACAAAAGTTTAAAAACAAAGTTCATCGCACAAGAAAATCTTCCTACTGCAGGGTTACATAAAAAAAACTAAATCGTGTTTATAAGGTTCTTTACTACTCTATCGGTTAATTTAACCCTTAAGCAGGCGCGTGTCTATTTTTAACGTTCATAGTCGCGTGGGAGGTCAACAGACCCCATTTCTAAAAATATATAAAATGTGTATAAAATAGTTCATTTTTTTAAATTCAAAAACTTTATTTGTTACTATATGATTTGTAAATATTGATAAAAATTCAATAATAAAAATTAAAATTAAAATAAATACAAAACTATGTGCATAATTAAAAATTATAATACGAAAAAAAAACTTAAATATCAAATTTTTTTAAAAAAAAATTTGGTTTGTAAAAAAATTATTTTAACTACAAAATCTTATTTTTAAGACAGTAAACAAAAACTTTTTCTATTACAAAATGTATTTTAATTAATTTTTCTTATATTTCTTTGAGCTTAAACACGACTTATATTTATCAATTAAATGTGCATTTACATTTATATTATCATTTTTCTGAATTAAATTTTTTTTTTATTATTATTACAATACATTTAATTATTATGATACGTCTATTCTGAATCTGTTGCACATTGATTTTTCTCCCAACAATCTTTGCTTACTGTTTTCATTATGATTTCATATGATTTGTTTTTATCTGTTCCGTATACCTACGAAATTCACAGTTAAATATTTATTTTTAAAAAGTAATTGCACAGTCGGTGGCTGATCCACATAATTCCAATTCCACAATATTATATCGATTATAACATTGCATTTACGATAAAATGAACTTTAAAAAAAAATACAAGTCCAAAAAAAAAAATTATAACGTTACAAGTCGCGTGGGGGTAAATATGACCCATTTCAATTTTGATGAATATTTTAAGTCATAGATTTTTTTTTCGAAAGTACTTAGTTATGAAAATCGATTCAATATTATTATAAAAACCATCTTCTAAATTTAGATCTATGTACACCTTTTATGCAATATAATACATACGTTTTAATTTATGTGGGGGTATGCTAGACCCCGACGTGACTCTTTAAGGGTTAATGTTTAACGACTGTACCAGCAACCCGGCACTCGACTCTGTCGAGACTTACTGTTTTCGGTCTCGTTGTTGTAGGTGCGTGTGCGACGACGGGTGGTACGGTCCCGTGTGCTCGCACCGTTACAACGCGTGCGACTCGAACCGGCACAACTGCTCGGACGGGTCGACGTGCGTACCGGTGGGCGCAGAGTACGAGTGTGACTGTCCGGCGGGTCGGACAGGCAAACACTGCGGCCGGGAAGAGCGGCTGTCCGACGTCCGGTTCCTGGGCAAGCGGTCGTTCCTGTCCGTGTCCGCGACCGCGGAGCTCAATATGCAGCAGTTCAGCGTCGAGCTCGAGATCAAACCGTCCGGCGAACACGGTATCGTTTTTTTCGTCAGACACGACGCGGCGCGCAAGAAGTTCATGTGTCTATCACTGTACGGCGGCGTACTGGAATTGAGGATCTCCGTCCGAGGTAACGATCCACAATCATATTATTATCGCGCTAGGTACTATATAGGTACGTTGGCACTGTAATTATTTTTTGCGTGGCGCGTGTGGTGAGGAGGGGAGATACACTGCAACATGCATGAATATGTCGAGTAGTGACTGTTCACGATTGTGATAACGAACTCACACAATTATATTATTTTTTTGTGTTGTCGAAAATATAAGCCCCTGACAGTGAAGGTGGATTTGCCGTTTGTGGACTACATGAACATATTAAGAAGGGCTCTGACATCAAAAATTGAACCTCAATACGATGCTTAACTATATACACTATTATTCTGCTTAAAAAGTTAAATAAGTGTCCGTTGTCCAAGATCCAAACAAATTATACTTTTCTAATGTTAATAAAAATAAATAACAGCATTATAATGTAAGTATTTGAGTAGATACCTAACGATACACTTGCAGTAATTTATACAAAGACACACAATACATATTACATAGATAATATTTTCATTGAAATGACATAATATTAATTAGGTAGATATCCTATAACCTAGGCAAATTTCGATACATGACTATAAAAGTTAAGGACTATTTATCTAATTTTTTTTGTTAAAAAAATAAAATATAGTTTAATGAACTAAAATACAACTTGTTATAAAATACACAAACATCTTTTTCTTTTAACATTTTTTCAGTTAAATTTAATTTTTAATACCTAACTAATATTTCAAAAAATACCGACATAACTGTCTCTTTTTTTTTTCTTCCATTATAAATATTACGAGTATATGCAATTATTGCAATTATTAATAAAATAATATACACTACTGTAGTAAAAAACTAGTAATTTGAAGCTTGGAAATCGAATAAAATAATTATAGCAATAATAAACATAGTCTAATTTCTTTATTTTGATATTGGAACTACATAAATATAGTAAATGTCAATATGTCATTTAAAAACAATAAACGTAAATTATGACAATAATGATAAACTGTATAAAGTACAATAAATAATGATATATAACAACACTATAATATTGTATAAATAACGTTTTTAAAATTCGTATAAAATATGTTCATATAGTAATATATATAGGCTGACAGTTTCCACTCAAAATCGTTTTTTGTAAAAATAATTTATAATTTATTTCAAATTTAACACACCCATTACAATGATCTACTCAATGGTAATGCAAATTTGATACCTAAAATATATAGAATGGGGCTAATAATTTAAACATATTTTAAGCTATTTAAAAGTTTTTGTAATTTTCCATGTATTCATACCTAGTTCTTTTTCTATAAAATCAATAAAAATGTTAGTACATATTTCTCATATACGTTTCAAATAAAATTTTGACGATATATATTATGAAATCACAACAATGTCGAGGAATATAAATAAATAAATTTAATAAATTTAGTTTGGTACTAATTTTTCAAAAGTTTCAATTAAAAAAAAAAAAAAAAAATTGAGTGGAATAGTGAATGTAGACCAAATAATGTATTTATTTTTTTCAGAAATCACCTTTATTAACAAAAAAATCAGTAAAATTTTTCAACTTTCCTCATGATTTATCATGGTTACTTAAATATAAAAGATAAATTGAAGAATGATAAAAAAAAAATTCAGTTTTTTTCAAAACTTTTATCGGGAGGAACAAAAATAAATATTATTATACAAAATCAATTTTTCTTCACATCTACGATAAAGTAATAATTATAGATTTCAAAAAAAAAAAAAAAAATTAGGTTTAATAGACATTTTTAATTATAAATTATTACAATTTTTGGTGATTGCTAGTACCAAAACTAAATCTTTCATAATAATTGTGTTATCAATAAGTAAAAATTTTAAAACAATAATAAAAATAAATAACAGTATTCACTGTATATAACTATATATATCTATAACAACCAATGTTTGTTATGTTTGTTGTGTTTGTTGTCCGGATTCTGTTGAAAATGTATTTCTTATTCTAGAAAACAGAACAAGTTTTTAATTAATGTTATTATCAAAATAAATTCGATTAACTAATATATTAATAATTATACTTCAATAACTTCAAAGGTTATGTACCTCAATTATATACAGCATAACATTTTAATAATTTATGAAATAGTATAATTGACATTACAATAATATTGTTCTATATCTTCTCACTATTTAAGTATTCAGTGTATTAACTATACAAATTAAAATAATTGGAGTATTAACTCATTAAATAATAATAATTAAACAAACTGCAAAAAGTGTACAACTATTAAAATCTACAATTTACTAAGAATAAAGTAAGAAACATAGTTTTGTTTTCCCTTTAAATGTTACATGTTTTATAACCAGGGATAGGATAGTATAGGATTTTTAATTTTTTTTAAGATTTACAGGATATAGCTTTTCAAGCACAAAATGTGATTTTGTCATCTACGAGGTCAAGTATATAGTTTTTATTTTGCATATTTTTGCATTTTTTGTACTTTTTTGAATTTAGGGTCATTTTTTAGCATTTTTTCAATTTTACGGTCATTTTTTTATATTTTATTGAAATCTGGGTTATATTTTTATTAATATTTAATTTTTTAAAATTTTAAATGGTCGTTATTGATCGTTATATTTATTGTACAAACATATAAAGATACAACATTAAAATAAAATCATAAACATATTTTCTAAAAATATTTAATACTTTAAAATACCAATCGTTTATATGTATAATAATGTATAATATAAAAAATACTCGTTAGATAAACAGAGCAATAATCGATAATAATGTTCGATTACGTGTTATCTTCATCAATTTATTATTAAATTTAACGTATTAATACCTATTCATTATACGTATGATATTGGCCATTATACCAGAAGATGAATTTATTTGTATACTTATAAATATTAATTATTATTTATTAATTTATTAATATAATTATATTTTTTTCGATCATTTTATGAAGTCATTTTTTCTTATTGAGTCATTTTTTTTGATCATTTTTTAGTTTTTATTAGGTCATTTTTTAAGTTTTTTAGGTCATTAAAGCCCTATTTATTAACAATTGTATAATATAACATACTAGTAAATACTACAGCAGAATATTACAAACGATAACAACTAAAAAATGTATTGTTTTTATCAATTAATTACTAATTTTAGCACTAAATATCATCAAAATATTATGATGTAGGTACTAGATGATGAATAATCTCGTCTGCTAGCGAAAATTTAGTCTCAATATTTTTTATAAGCATTTAAAGTTAACAATTTTACAAAATCCCAAAAATTACAATTTATTTTGTAATAATAAATTCATAAAAACGCTATATTGTTTGTTGTGCATAAACTATTTTAGAAAATGGGGACTAGATATCAGATATTTAGCTCAAGTATGAAATAAAAAATAACCGAGAAATATAAAAATTACAATTTATGAAAAAAGATTATTTACTTATCACAACATTTAACAATAAAAAATATACCTAATGTTAGTTGGTAATTTTCAGTTTAATACAAAAAAATTTACCTATAACATAAAAATAATAATTAAAATAATTATAGTATTATTTAATTATTGTCATTTTAGATTCCGAGTAAAACAATGAATAGATTGATTTTACAATTTTTTTTTTTTTTTTTTTAATCTGTAATCACCTTTAGGAGCATTCAAAATAATTCAATTTTTAACTTAAGGTATAGTTTCTGATGGCAAATAGCAAATTGGATCTAGTTGGTTCTTTGAAGGATTAAAAATAAAAAATTCTTAATACTTTTCTTAATATTAAGGGAAAACAAGAATTTTTTTAACAAAATGTATATTATGTAATACTTAATTTTTTATAGCTTAAAAACAAATAAATATGAAAACTTTTTTTCGAAATCATTTTTTATATGTCATAATAAAATTTTCAAAATATTTAGATTTTTTAAATAAGTTTTTATATAAGTTATAACTTATAAACAATTTTTTTTTTTATTTTTGATTGTCAATCAAAATGCTTTTGCTTTGTCAAAAAGTTTTGAAAATGTATTTCAAAGTTCCTCATAAGTTGTTATTAATAGAAATAAAAAAATAGCTAACCGTAAATCCACTTAAATTTTTTACAAGTATTTTAAATTAGGATTTTTCCAAAATCGCGAAAATTTGCAAATTTCTTTGTAGTTTAAAATTCATAGTTTTTGAATATTTCTATAAAAGATTTGAAAATTCAATTCAAAGTTCTTTATAATTTTAATAATCTATATTAAAAAAATGTTTACTGAAAAAATTGAGATTAATTTATGGTTTTGTCTGTCATATACTACGAACAGTACTAACCACACCATTATATATATATATATTAGGCGATTTTGATTTAAAAGATATTGTAGCTCAATTTTAAAGGTAGGTACATATTTTTTTATATTTAAAATAGAATATTTAGTATTTTGACTTACTTATCTAGTTTCTTTTGACGGAAAAGGTTAATTTATTTTTTAAATTTTAAAAACGCTTCCTCTAATTCTTTTCTTTTCATTCCTATTTTGATTTCCTTTTCCTTCCTCTTTCTTTTACTTAACCTGCATGCCTCATTATGCTTATGTCGTTTTATTTCATCATTCATATCACGCTCGGTTGAATTCATGATGATTGAACTATATGCAAAACAAATTGGATTTAATTAAGAATATGCTAACTTATAAATATGTAAAGTAATAAACATTTTTTACCAATTTTGCTAACTCAAAGATAAATTTGTTCTTGTTGATATCTAAGTGTAAAATGAGTGTATTTTAAAGCGTTCAAATAATTAAAATAGTAGTGATATTCTACTAATGTATCTAATTTGATTATAATTTCTGTTTTATTATTCTGGCCCATTATTGCTGATTGAAAATAATATATTACACGGATATTTTCTAGAGTAAAATTTATGTATAAATTTATATTATAAAGGTATTTAACAATTATGTTCAAGAAACTCTTTTAAAAACTATTAATGGTTATAACTTATAACTTATAAAATATATGTTCATAATTATTAGTAAAATATATTAATATATTATAAATAAATTATTATTAATGTAACATCTATATTGTATTCCCATATTATTTGAAGGAGATAAATGTAATAATATAGTAGATACTTATGAGTTATGCCAAAAATTTATTATACAATAAAAACCGTTAATTATCTAAATAATTTCGATATTAACTCAAGTGGAATGATGCAACTCATTGTATAAAGGTAGAATTACTATAGTGCCATTAACTGTTTATGTCGAATTCGTTGTACCTACATTTTTTTATCAGTGAATCATTGACTAGCTTCAATAATCTACAAAAATAATAAAGATCATAAAAATAAATTAAATTTTTTGAAATTAATAATTTACTTATTAATTTCCAAAACAACAATAAAATTTACTCAAAAAATAAATAAATTAATAAAATTTATCAAAAACTGTTTTTGCATACTAATTGAAAAAAAATAATGATAATCTATTATGATTGTTTTTATTTTAAATCTTAGCCCTAACTATAATTATCTATTGAATATTAATAATAAAAACTGTTACTTACCTGTAAAGATACTGCAATTATTATTTTCTAAAACCACACTTGAGTACCAAATTTAGTAAATTTTTAAAATTTGCAATGTTTTTCTCGTGTCAGTTTTTGAAATATCGTGTGTATGGTTATGATATTTTTTATTTTATTGATAATTTGACCATTCATGCAGCATATAGAAACGTGGAATTTTTTGTATTACATTTGATACATCGCTAATTACTATTTTTATCGAACTTATTAATTTAAATAAATACCCGTTGTAAGTTGTAACTCGATAAATCTCATAGTGTTGTATTAATCACTAGTAAAAACATATAACAGAACAATATAGTACCCATGAAAAGAGAAGTGTAAAGTGTCTATTCATAATTTAAATAGCCGCGTACTTATCCAGCTATAAGAAAAAACCATGATAAATATAGATGGGTGTCCGTGCCCTGAAAACTAGTATAGCAAAAGTACAGATACCGTGTATAATATTGTTGTCATAAAAATGTTAGTTTTAATTTTGCGTGATTCTTTAATCATTAAATAATTTCTAGCTTTTTTCATTTCACTCAATTGACGTTATAGTTCATTTCTAAGCCGTTGAATTATACAAGCTCAATTTTTAGAACACTCTATATTTTTTTTATTTGTATTTTTATATTATTAGTTTCAATTCTCACTGCAAAAAAAAAAATTCCCGCAAACGCGTGCAACTTAATCTGCGAGAGCTTTTTCTCATCCCCTCGCCCCTTCTCACTCCTGCCGCGTTTACACATCCGCGATCGTTATTGTCATTTTTTGCCGGTCATAATCTAACTCTGTATGTTTTTTTGTGACTTGTCACAGTCTTGCATAGTGCCGTTTTTTACGCAAACACGTATTTTATTGTCGTATTCGACCTTTACAACTTACACGTATCGCTATCGTTATGAACGACGTTCGTAATACCTTCGTATTTTTTTGTACAACACATCTTTCTTCGATAGTTTTTGTATTGGTCGCACCATTTTTGTTGTTCCAATCACAAAGCTTATGTGTCGTTGACCGTTGCACATCAATTTATTCATCTAGTACACTTCGTCTTGTCTATTGTCCGAACATAAAAATGTTTGGTCTTATTTAAAGTTTATAAATCATATTTACAAATATGTAGCTAATTAACGAAGAAATATTAATTCTTGCAGGTAATTGTTACGTTAATTACTCGTTTTAATGAAACAAAAATGATATATTACACAAATGTATGTAACGAACTTATTGTATTACATACAAATACAAATTACAATTAATCGTTTTTATTTTTTTATAAAGATTTATTATAAATTTTTAATTATATAAGATTACAAATTATAATTATATTGTTAAATAAATATATAAAGATATATTAATAAAATATTCATTAGTAGTAATAAAATCTTGCAAAGAATATATTGAATGTTCTTGGATTTTGAAATAAAAAGTACTTTTATCAGTTAAATTATTTAAAAATTGGTACTTCGTGGACAATTTTTATTTTTATTTTTATCGGTTCTTATAGTTTTTGTGAAGATTAGGTACTATTTCTGTTTAAGTCACTAAGTCACTTCTCCTCATTCATCTTTAAATTTTACAAGAATTTTTTAGACGATAATCAATATAGTCACTATAGTTTTATTATTTTCCTTCTGTTTGTGTTTAGTGGGCGAAACAAGACGTCAAGACGACGTACTAGTAGTCCGCAGCGGTCGAGTGTTGACACTGTCTGAATGGCATAGTATAAGAGTGGGCCGGTATCGCCGCAAGTTGTATCTATGGGTCGACGGGATGGTTAATTACGCTGTTTTGCAGCCGTCAGAGGGCATTTCAAATTTTGACAATCTCATATATTTTGGTATGTATTGAACCTGTGAGTACAGGGTCATTATTTAGACTTATAGCTTTATCAGACTTGGTACGAAAAAAATTGCTTTAACTAACATACATTTTTATTTAAAAGTACTTTTAAAACATCCGCTTAATTTTATTATTCTTATCAATTAACTTCAAAAAGGAGTATTGTTGATCATTCAGTAGAAGCAAAAAAAAAAAAAAAAAAACAGTGTAGTCTTCGATAATCGACTATAAAAAAAATTCCACCCAGAAAAACCATTTGACCTGCCATCAAACTTGTTTATTTCTAGATTTATTTAGTGATTTTTTTTTTTTTTTTTTGATATACGAGTAAATATAAGCTTATTTTGAATTTTTATATAACATGTTGCCATAAAATTAGTTATTACTTAACAAAATAGCTCATATTTTGTACTTAATAAAAAAAAATTTAAGTACCTACATAGTTTTGTAATTAATATAAATCACTTTTATTTTTAACAATATGTACATATTTTTCTACAGCCATAAAACATGCATATCTTTAATTATTAATTAAAATAAATAACAAATAGCTATTCAATACTAGTTGCAGTCCACCCGGAGAAGTTTTGATATCCAACCGGCTTAGTTCACTCACCGGAGGAGTCTTTGAATTACACTTAAAAATACATAGTTAACTCAGTAAATTTTAAATACTATAAAATAATTTAATTTTTAAAATCAATTTTTATAATTTTTTTTCGTACCTACTCGAATCCCTAAATCTAAGTTAAAAGTGTGAGACCCTGGATCTTGTCTGTCATTAATATGTACTTTATGATATATACCCATAATAATTAGTTTTTACATGAATTTAGGTGGTTTACCGGATCTGTCCCGCATGCCACCCGGCTCCACAGCTGGACTTCCGGTTCCGTTCGCTGGATGCATACGCAGACTATCGATCGATTACGAGACAATACCACTTAACTATTCGTCGATTGTTGCTGGTAGGAATATAGCCGATTGCGACGGGACGCCGTGTGGCGGAGACTTGTGCCATCACGGCGGTAGCTGTTGGTTGGACATGGACATGAAACCGCACTGTCATTGCCTTCAGGTGCGTTCTCGTTTTTTTTTTTATTTTTCCATCATGTTAAACGTGTTTTTGGTGGCATCATTAAAATAATTGTTTAAATATATGTTTGATTATCAAGGAGTTTACCGGAGACTCATGTAACAAACAAGCTTCTTGCACTGAATTTAAATGCCAGAACAAAGGTCACTGCGTAAGTGAAAGTGGCAACACGTCGTTTGTGTGTAAATGTCCACCTGGCTGGGACGGCCCGTTCTGTACAAAAGGTATGATTCTAAACAATCTAAACCATATTATAATGAATTTTGTTAACCAAAACGTTTAGGTATGTATTCGACTAAGTATCTATCTCATAAATCATAGGTATGCGTAGATTTGAATTTAAGAAGGTACCTACAATATTCTTGAGTCCTCTCTTAATAAATTAAGTCACTAATAAATTATTAAGTATGGATTTACATTACTTTAATTTTACCATTATTTTGTATATGCCAATGTAATAAAATCACGAATTTATAATTGTAATAATACAGATACACCTTATGGTCCTTAGCTTTAAATTATTAAACTTATAAATAACTAAATTTAAAGCATTATATATTATGAACTTATTTACTTTTTATCACTTTTAGTTATTTCTTCTTTCTATAATACTTGTATAGATAGATATATAATAAATTGCTTCACTATTTATATAATTATTTTTGTTTTAGATAATAATATATAATAAGAAAAAAGTCCTAATTTACATAATATATTAATTATTAATTTGATTAAAATGTTATTTAATTAAATAACTTCGTTAGCAACAATTACAATTAAAATGTCATTTTTTAGACTCAAAACTCAGTTGGTATTTTATAAATTTAAAATATTTAAAACTAATCAATGATGATAGCTAATTGTATCACTAATTAGAGTAATATCACATAATAATATTATTAAGCAGTAATAGTCCCAACAAATATTATCTAATCTTATTTTTATTTAAAATTTTTAAACTTGTATTGAATAACATTCACACACTTATGGAGTACTTATAGAAGTAATGATGGTGTTCAATAAAATAAAATATATTTAAAGCTAAAGCTGAAGGTTCAATACACAATAGCTTTTTTTATTTTATTTTGGTATACAAATAGTTTAAACATTAAACTTTAATGTACATCATATTTTTATTTTTTTTATTTTGTAACGTTTAATACAAGAATTCTTATAAGTCATAAGTTATTATTCTTGGAATTAATTATTGGTTATAAATACTTAATCATTTTTATATATTTTTTTTTTTCAAATAAACATTTGTAGTTTAAAATTTGATAAAATCATTTGATTTCTACAAATACTTTAAATAGCTTTAAGAATAAAGTTACAAATACCAGTAGTTAAAATTAAAAGTATTTCAAGTAATTTATAAGTACTAAAATATATTATTTATATAATAAACAATTAATATTTAATTATAATAAAAAAAATAAGAGTTGTGATCCTTTTTAGAGCTTCCAACTGGCCCACCACTATTCAAAGGACATGGATATTTAGTTCTCAGTAAACTGTCATCACTAACTAAAAGAGAAGGTAATGATGAAGTAACTGTAGACAATGAAACACAATTCATAAGTGTCAACTTTTCAACGGTATATGATAACGGATTGCTAATTTGGACATCACAGGTACTTACTATAATTTTTACCCATAAGTGGTATAAACCATAAAATATAACTACAGTACAGTAACCAAAGATGTATTGAATGTATATTTTTATTATTTAAAGGAAGAGTGGTACATGGGCTTAGGCATAATTAATGGATTAATGACAGTGACGTGGGCGCAGAATTATAAAAGACCCAATAAATTGACAGCGCCAATGTCCAACATAACCAATAGTGAATGGCATACAGTGAGATTAAATGTCACAAAATCAGATATAACATTAGAATTAGATGATTGGGTATCAGATCCATATCGCCACAATATAGATTTGTTTAATTTGAACGATAACATAATTTATTTAGGTAATAAATAAATTTACAAATAAATATTGTGTTTACTCATAAAAATATTTTTACAGGGGGAGTTCCAGAAGACAAATTTTTCTTGAATAATAAACAAGAGTTATTTAAAAACAATTTTCGAGGATGCATCGAACAACTGACTGTTCAAGAAAACATTATAACTGATTTCAAACATTATGAGAGCGTAAATGTAGATGTATGTGATACGTGGTGAAATAGTATCAGTTTTATAAATGTGAGCAAAATAATCAATTTTAATGAGTTCAATTTCAATCAGTCAATAAATATACTTATGATTAATATTAATATTTATGTTTTTTCTATATTATCAAATTTTAAATGATATCTTTTCATATCTTCTGTAGTGATTTCTGCTGGGGCTCCAGTCAAAAGATCTTTTCCTTCAAAAGTTTTAGGAAAAGCAATAACATCACGAATGCTATTTGTGTTACACAAAATTGATAGTAATCTATCAATACCTAAAAAAAAATCAAAATATTTTTATAAGATAAAATAGGTCAATACCTACTAATTATAGATTATTTATAATGGTTTTCACCTAAAGCTATTCCTCCATGTGGAGGACAACCAGACTTCAATGCTTCAACTAAATGAGAAATAGTTTCTACTGGTATATTTAAAATTGATTCGATGACTTTGGTTTGTAGATTGGCATCATGTATACGAATTGAACCTCCTCCTACTTCACTTCCATTCAATACCAAATCATAATGAAACCCTTTGACCTATAATAACAATTAAAAACAAAATTGTTAAAGAAATATTTGTTTAAACATTTAAAAAAAAAATTATAAATTAATTAATTAACCTCTAATAAGTTATCAGTAGTAATTTCTGTTTGTGGTTGAGTGAATGGATGATGAACAGATTGAATATGGTTAGAATCTATTTCGAATAACGGAAAATCAACTATCCAAACAAAACGCCAACGATCATCAGATGAACTATCCATTTTAAAATGTTCATTTATTTTACCCAATGCTGATAGCTATAATTTTAAAATTAAATATAAAAACCAAACAGTATAATACTAATTACCACAAACTAAGATAAAATGGACTGAAAATAAGGGTCATATTTGCTATTTTTATTGTTAGTATAAGATTCTCTCTAGCCTTAAGCTTAAGATACCATTCTTTATCACTTCCCACTTGTTTGTTTCCCAAACCAGTCTATCTTAGTTTATGATCATAAGTCATAACTTACAGCTTTATATTTTGAGCCACAAGCAATAGCTACTAAATCATGTTCCGATATATTATCATCATCTAGCACAGCTACTGCGTCAATCCCATTGAATATTTTTAAAAGATTTTCTTTAAATGTTTTTATTGATTTTATATTTAAGAGACTGAATTTAACATCTGGGTAATTGGTAGATATTAATGTTTTCAAATAATTTTCTTGTTTCTTGGTCAATTTATTTTCAGAATTTTTTAAAACAAGTGCAAAAACTTCATTTGATGCGTTTGACATGTACTTTGTCCAATTTGAAATCTATAAATAATAGTTTAACAAATTAAATTTAATAATTATATTTTATATATGATAGTCACAATTATAGAACTTGTTTATCTTACAGGAAGAAATGTTTAAAATATATGTACTGAAAAAAAACTTTAAAGGCATTTTATTATATTTAGCTATTATACATTTTTAAGTTAAGTTTAAAATAAAATAAGATATTTAATGCTTGTATCTCCTTTTAGTAATAATAATAATACTAAAATCAATATATTAAAATTGTAATTTTCATAGCATTAGAATTACATATTTAAATTTTTTTTTTTTAACCATTGATTAAGTGTCTACTAACGATGAAATGCAATATTTATTGTTTTGTTTAGATAACAATAAAAAGTTAAACTTAACATTATAAAATGTACAATGAGATTTATGCAAACAGATAAGTGTATATCTTATTATTATCAACACAATTATTTTGATCTCTTTATTAGGCATTTTATTTTATTTTTTTAGTTATTGGGGTCAAAATATTTACAGGCACCAATAAACTCAATATAGATAGTATTACAGTATAAATATACCTATAATAGTACATAAACATTACGGTTTTAAATGTAAACCATAAGAAATACATTTTTTTAGTTTCTATTTTTATTTTTGATGAGGAATAATAAATATACATTATTGTGATTTCTTATTATTTTAAATCTTGATCTAATGATAGCACTATTAGTTCATGTTTTGTGGACTATGATTGTAAATAGTAAAAACTTAAAACATTTAAATATGTTTATCTATTAGTAACAAATATTGTATCTTTATATCTCCTGGTGTTTATGTTTTAAAATCATTGTTATTAGATAATAATTTTAGTTAGTTGGTTTAGTACGGTTATTGATGCATTATAGTGTAGTATTGTAGATTATAATCAAATAATTAAAATTCATGTAAAATAATATTATATTATATTTTAAATTGAAAAATTTGTGGTTAAATTATAATTGATAATTTATTTATGTTTTGATTTTTATTTATACCTTTAAAATCATGATAATATTTTTATTTTAATAATTCATATAAAATCATTTAACTTATTATTTGTACTGTATTTTCATACTATACTTTAATAATAATTAATGGTGTATGGCATATTGAAAAATAGCTAAATATTATTAAAGAAAACAACGAAATAAAAAGTATAGCACAAAAAAAATTAATTTTATTAAAACATTACTTTTGTGCTACATCCGATATCTGGTTTATCACTACCATATGTTAGCATTGCTTCCTCATACGACATTCGAAGAAATGGAGTATTTATTTTTCCCAATTCTGATGGCCAAATAAACGATAATAACTCTTCAATGAGTAACATCACTCCATTTTGGTCAGTGAATGACATTTCAATGTCCAGCTAAAAAAATAAGTTAAAAGATTACAAGTTAATAACTTATAACTAGAATAGAGGATAATAACCCGGAAAAGAACAAATTATGCTAGATACATGCATTTACATCCCTTAAATATGCAATAATGAATTGCTTAGTTATTAAATATTACTAAAAAAAATAAAATAATGGCATCTAAAAGTATAACAATTAAGATACGGATAATGCTTAAGATGGCAAGTGTATACATTCCATTGACCTATAGCCATTGTTTAAAGTAAGAAGGATTTCAAATAATCAATTGGTACAAGAATTGTTTCTCTTTTGATTATTTAAAGTGCAGTATGCAAATTAACTCTTAAAAAAGAAATATGCTTCAAAAACAAAAAATTGGTTACATAGATATTAGATATATTAGATATACTAAATTTGTTTCAACAAATAAATAAATATTGAAACATAAAATTACAAATTTAGTCAAGGATTTGACCCAATAGTGTTCTTCTATAGCTTTTTTGTTTTTTATACTAAAAAACATTTAAATAAACACTAGAAGTTCTGTCTTATAAATAATAATAACACATATAACATAATATGATTATTAATTTATTATTTTATATTACTTGGGTAAATTCTGGTTGTCTGTCAGATTTGGCACCTTCATCTCTGTAACATTTTGCTACTTGAAAATATCTATCTATAGAACCAACCATCAACATTTGTTTTAATTGCTGAGGGCTTTGAACTAATGAATAACATTTTCCTTTTTCATGAGTGGGTACAATAAATTCTTGTGCACCCTATAAATAACAATAGGTTTATTAAAATAAATATAAATTAATTATATGAATAATAATTACACCATGAGTCTTTTTGAACAATGTAGGAGTTTCTACTTCAACAAACTCTCGATGATCAATCAGAAACTGTCTCATTTTCATCAATAACTTTGATCTTAAACGCAAATTATATTGCATTTCAGGATATCGCAAATCCACATAACGATATTTTAATCTTAACGATTCATTAGCCTGTAATCAACATTATATTTAAAAAAAAACTAATTATTTTAAAAAGCCAATATACCAGCATGATATTATCTTTTTTACATTCTCTAATACTAGTGGACAACAATGAAAATTTAAGTTTTTTAAATTTTTATAGTTAGATTTATATTAGAATGCTTTGACCTATTATCAAACTTTAAAGCAAGATGTGACTGTGCTATATAAATTAATTTTTACACAGTTAAAGTTTATAATAAATTATAAGAATTTTGAAATTTTAATATTTTATGTACTCATAAATAATAACTAGCTTAAAAATTAAAATATTAGAAAAATCTAACAAAAGATTATTATCTTATGTTCTTGTCTTTAAGTTTGATGACTGACAAATTCATTCACATATTTAATACAAAATTAAAACTTTTAAACACAAGTGTTGCAAACATTATGTATTAAGTAGAGCAAAAAACTAGCAATACATACCTTATTAAATTTTCGTAATTGAAATGGCAATTTGGTATCAACAGCATTAAGTAGCTGTAATTTATCAACAATTACTTCTATCATTCCTGTTGCTTGATTCTATAACATACATAAATAAACAAATGACATATAAAATACAATTTATACACAAATGAATACCTTGTTAAAAAAAATAACTCACTTTATTTATTTCATTTATGGGTCTTAATTTTACACTACCATAACACATCAAAACTGATTCTAGAGGTATTTTGTCAACAAGATCATATAATTCAGCACCTGATTTAAAAAATGGTAATTAATCAATTGGTTAAGTTACAGAAATAATTAGGAAAACAAAAAATAATAGTACTTGCGTTTTCAGGAATAATCAGTTGCGTTGAGCCATAGCCATCTCTTAAAATTATAAAACGATTCAATCGTATATACTCAACCCAACCACAAAGGATAACTGATTTTCCACAATCTTCAGTTCTTAGTTGATTACATGTGTGAGTACGAGAGGTATATAAATTAACATTCGAAAAATCTAAGGAAAAATGTTGATAGCAAAAATAAATTTATGCTTTTTGTCATGAAAAACAATTAATTGAAAAATATAAAATAGTAGTATACTACTTACTGTGCAATCCAAACTCATATTTATGTTCTTTCACTATTTCTTTATTGTCTACAGTTTTTGCAACTGTAAATTTGTATCGTTTTGTGAGTATATTTTTCTTTGTGTTTGCTGACAATATGCCCAAGTTCCTTAAGATTAATTTCTATAAAGTGAACAAGTTAAATAAACATGTAATTAATACATTAACTATACCCTATTTGTGTTAAAAAAATATAGGAAAGGAAGAGAGCAACAAATGGATGTAATTAAACCGTCATAAGCTGAAAACTGGTCACTTTTGAGTACATTTATTATCCTGTATAAAGTATAATATATATATTCTGTTCAAGTTAGGAAACACAGCTAGTAGCAACCAGTTTTTTGTTTTTGGTGGACGGTAGTGAGGTAACATCAGTTTATCATCCCCACCTAGTCAACCATTTAAGCCTGCCGCATACTTCAGCCACGTTCCTGTGCACTAGTTAGCCACCAACTGTGTTTTTTAACTTGAATTTAGTATAAAGTACTTAATGAAATTAAAACTTACCTGATAAATATTTTTCTGTGGTAAAATATTTGTTTTACCACTAATTAAGTATTTTGTGTGATACATATTTCTTATATGATTTATGTGATTCATTTACTCAATGCTCATTTCTTAAAAATACATATATCTTTGTTGTTTAAAATGTCTTACGGACAAAAATGTTTTAAATAGTTAAAATGTCTATCCAACCAAGAAAAAAATAAATAAACAACATAAATACAAAGCTTTATTTAATACATACCATTACAGTACACTTTTAGTGACTTCTATCAACAATAATTATTTACTATGATACAATACCGGTAGTTAATTAAAGAAAATCATTTACAACTGCTATACATTTGAGTAAGGCGATAATTGTGATTGGTTATTAATAATTTACAATTATATTGAAATCATTATTTATTATCACACTGATCTGTTACATAAATTACATTGACAAAACCAGAAATTTATGTCTGTAAAATAAACCAAGTCAAAAAAATAAAAATTATTCTACTTTGCAAATATACTTCAGAGATATACGAACTATAATTAACGATAAGTTAATAGTTTTAATTTAATAAAACGGAATTTAATTGATGATTGTGCTATAAACTATAATTAAGTTGACTTTTGAAGAGAATGACAGATATACTTATTTTAAAACATCAATCATACTGCGTTCGAAAGATTATTTGTAGGCTTATCATTTTTGATAGTGAATTGTTTTCAATAACATAAAGCGAGTTATCTAACTTCACGGAGGTAACGAAAGTAAATGGTTAGCTGACTGTGTACTGATACGGCGTATGAAGTTTGTTTATCGACAAAAAGATCCGAAAGAGATTTATACAAATATACTACCAGAAACACTTGACCGTTTAAAAAGTCGGTTAGAGATGGGAGCAAACATTTCGGTAAACATCATAAATTACTTAAAATATCTTAAAATTTAAATCGTGATAAACATCGAATAGTTTCGCCATCAAATTATCAAATTGTTTGCTGTCGGCGGTTAAAAACTTCCGTAGAAACTAGCTTATTATTTCAAATTATGATTTATTATCTACGTAGATAACATGGAGGCAATAATTATTCAATGATGATATTATTATGACATTAATATTGAATATTGTAGTTCAATGTTACATTTATTGTTTGTTACTTCATATTTTTATAAGTATTTAGTTCAGTAAAATTTGAATGTGATTATGTGAAAGCTAATTTACAAATGATAAAATTTAAGAATCCTTACACAAAAATGTTTATTTAATTTAATTTCTACTAAAATGAATGTTTCATCCGCCTTCTTTCTATGACAAATGCTAGTTTTTTCGTTTTTGATATATTAAGTAAAATCACCGATACGGTAATCATAATAATTTTGTACGAACTTACTACTTACTGAATCGACAAAATGTCACGTAACTGATGTGTTTTGCATAATCAATGGTGTACTCGTATTCAAAATAATATACCAATATACCATAGTATATAAAAATTATAAAAATTACCTAAGCCATTGTTATACATTTATACCAATAACTACAGTAGGCATTGAATAGTCATTTTCAGTTAACAAGAATAAGTCTTAACTATCAATTTAATTTTAAAAATTGTATCAAATTAATAAATGATGAGGAATCTGATTTCCCCCCTTTTTTTTTGCTACTCACGCTGTTTGTTAATTAAATATGTACATAAATATTTGTCAATCATTATTATACTATTAAAAAATTATTCTACTATTATACAATATAATAAAAATATATATTATACACTTTATATTAAGTAAATTTGTTGCATTGAACATCTGAATATTTTCAACAATTAAACAATAATAATTGTCTGAATGAATATTTTTACAACATTAAAACATTGAATCTGTACCTCTCCTTGAAAAATATTGTTCTGCTATGTTGAAATACATTTATCTTAAAACCAGCCCATAGTATAAGAAAAATAGAAAACCCTGGACCATAAACTATAATTCTATAAGTTAAAGTTGAGATCTATGTTTACAAATATATTTGTATTTTATTATTAAATCTACATAGCTTAGTGGTGATAAACATAATGGCAACATTTTTTTTAAATTTTTTAATTCAAATTCAAATTAAAAGGATATTTGTTTTTCATATTAATAAGATTATTAGAATTTTAAGTATATGTATTTAATATTTAAATACATTTTTTATTCTAAACAAATTATGACAATAATATATTTTTTAAGTTTTACATTTTATTAAATATTTAAAATATAAAAAAACTTACATTTAAAATTGATAAAAATTAAATTACAAATAATATATAGTTATAAAAAAAAGCATATTTTTATTAAAATAACTTAAAGTATTTTGTTAAAAAAAAAACATAATAATAAGTTTTAAGTAGGTAAATATTTTAATTCTTAGTCTATATAATTAAAAATAAAACTACTCTATACTAATTTGATTAAAATTAAAATATGTTTTTAGAATCAATTAATATACTGTTTAAACATAAAAGTGATATACCAGATGGATCACACATAAAACTGTATATGCCAGCAGTTGAGGAAAACAATATTATTTTCTAGCAATTTTCAAAGAAATTATATCCAAACATTAAGTGAGAAAATAAGAGAAATCTAACTTTGGAATACATTTAAAGTAGTAATATATAATGTACTATAATGATGTAATTTATTATTTTAAGTATAATTTTAAGGAATATAATTGAAAATTAAAACTAAACTAAATATACAATATATATTATCCTTATTGGGAATTTAATTAATCCACTATAATTTCATTATATAATATTAAATTTAATATAAATTATTACTAATTTTAGTGCAACATAAAGTATGGTTGTTGCTTATTCACAACAAAAGTGTTGAATTTTTCTAATATTAAACGTATATCCTCACATTCTCTATACAATGATTCAGTTTTTTTTTCCTTTTTTGGACAATTATTGCTTCGTTTTTTCAAGCTTAAAATCTTTTTATCCAATTTTTCTAACTGAGCTATAGTCTTTTCGAGACAATCATCTTTTTGGCATTTACTTAGATAATCATCAATTATTCTTGGATTCACTCCCCTTAAATGACTGAATGTATCATCCCATTCAATTAATTTTGTAATGAACTCATGGGTGATTTTTTTAGATATAATTCGACTTGAAAGCTGGGTTGCTACTGGTACAACATGTTGTATATTAGAATCAATATACAGATGCGATATCAGTGTTTCTTTTGTAATTAGTTGATGCTCTCCATTAGAATCTTCCAATAAATATTCCATTCCATGTGTACCTGTACAGCAGTGCGAAGCACAAGTATTCAGCTTTAATTTCAACATTTTTTTTGCCATTTCCATTTCTTCATTAATTCCAAACTTGTTTTTTACTCGTGGTGTATCCCCATTACTATAGCCATTAATTTCAAAGTCTTTTATTACATTTTGCAACCACAATAAATCTTCTCTACTTGACTGAAGTATAAATAGTCTAACCATAAACCAAAATGTAGGTGTAGGTTCATTTGGTTTTGGTGTAGGTTCATTTGGTTTTGGTGTAGGTTCATTTGGTTTTGGCGTAGGTTCATTTGGTTTTGGCGTAGGTTCATTTGGTTTTGGCGTAGGTTTATTTTTAGGAAGTTCAATTTCGTCTTTGGTGTTACCACAATCATCATTGGACAATGGTTGATTTAATTCTTTAACTTTTCTAGCCGATTTTCCCTTACCATTAGCTTTTCTGCGAGTTTGTTTATTAGAAGGCATTGTTTTTATTATATCTCTGCGTTATTGATTAATAGCAGCCAAGCCTGTTAAATAATGCATGGATTTATTCATTGTAATTAAAAATTGTCTTGATCATTAAATTAATAAATAACAAAATACGTTTATCCTACTATTCAAATTCATAATAACAATGAATATAATGTTTTTTGAAATTAATGATTTATGGGTAATATAATATAATAATTTTTGTAGTTAAATATGATATGTTACATGAATAGTTAATCAGTTTATTTAATAAACTGACCATTTTAAATTCATCGTGATTTATGTTAGAATTGTAGATATCGCCTAATCAAATAATACATTATATGATTTGATGGATTGAAAATTTGGTACTTCACTTGCTAAGTTTAGTTCACAGAGCTTAAACATATTAAATAATAAAATAGATTTTTGAATGAAAGTAAGAATTAAAATATGTATAGGTCAGCAATTATTTTACTCATGAAAGGTGAATTTTGTATTTAATCTTTATCTTAAAAAAAAAAAAATTAATATTTTGAGTTAAGATTAAATTATAAATTTTAAATCAATGGTTTTGTTATATATGTATAAACAATATTAATTTAATAGTTTACATTATACGTAGATGTATGGTTTGGGATATTTTGCAAAACTATATTTTATAAAATAACATTAGTTAGATTAGGTATTCATTTTTTATATGTCAACATAATCATAAAAATTTTATTCCATTATTCCACAAAAATACGCTTAATGTAATTAGGATTTTATCGAAGAACTGAAAATAATAAAAATCTAACAATTGAAGCAAAAAAACAAAAAATAAAGTTGAATAATATGATGTTTGATAAAAAACTAAATATCAAAAATATATAGTAAATGATTCACTATGGAAAATCTAATATTCAATTTTCTAAAATAGATACAAAATATGTGGTCTATTATTTAAATATAAAAATAATTTTAGTTCTAAAACTTAAGACTCAAATTTGTTATACTTATGGACTTTTATATGAGCCACTATGTAAAAATATATTTCTAGTTCTCTTCATTTTTTTTTTCATATTGAAATATTAATTGATAAAATATATTTATAGTAATATTCACTCCACTATGGGTTAATTTCTTTAATGAACACAATAGCCATCCTTTATGAATGAATCATAAATTGAATATAAAAATAAAATTATTAATTTTACTATAGTGTTTTTACTTTTATAAAATAAACATAAATATTGTGTATAATTTTTGTAAATACTATATAATATTCAATTTATAAATATAAAGCAAAATTAATAATTTATATGGTAGTAATTTTTCTGACGATGGTTCAAATCTCTCTCTCTCTCTCTCTCACACACACACACAGACAAACAATAATAATTTTTATAAATAGGTATTTAATATTTTCTAATTTTACATAAAACAGATCATTCTATTAAGCTTTATTTTTATTTTTTTTTAATTGTATTTTAATAACTAACGCTAACAATAACATGTACAATGAGATAAATTTGAGAATAGCGGCAACAAATCAAAGCTATTTTGCCATGAATTAGGATGTTCAAATCAAGACTAGTATCAAAAGAATCAAAGATAAAACTCTATACTCCTTACCTCCGTCCAGTCATCATGTATAGATGTGAAATATGATCTAACTACAAAGGGTGACAAAGGAAAATTGTTGAAGTTCAAGAAAAAGATTCTGAGAAAATCTATGGACTTTAACGAAACCCAACTAATGGTGAGTGAGCGGAGGAAAAACACAGACATTAAAGCCTTTTCAATAGACCAAACTTTAAAAGTTTCCTACTATCCAAAAGATTATAATTGGCTGAGCATGTATGGCAAGCAAAACAGTATTTTATCAATTCATTTTTATCAGTAATCTATCTGGAAAGAGACACGAGGAAAACAACACTAGCAATGGATGGACTGTGTAAAGAATGATCTAAAAAGAACAGATCAAATAGTAGTAAAAAAGGATGACAATGACATGGATCATTGGAGAGTCTTAGTAGAAGTTGCAAAATGCCTTTACAGTGTGCAAAACAAAAAAAAAAAAATTTTAAGGTATTTTAAGTGAGCTGTAACAGATGCTATAGCCTGGTGCATTTATTTTTATTGTTAAAGTAATATTATATATTAATATTTATATAATCACTATAACAAATATTAATAAACATTGCTTTAAAATAATAAATAAATTGTTGTATTAATGTGAGGTTTGATTATTTATTTTTAACAAATTTATATTTTGTCAGAGATGAAGAGTTTTATAATTCAGAGGTAGGAAGTTGGTAAGTTATTATTTGAAATAAAGTCGTGGAAGCCAGAATCAAACAAATATTATCATATTATTTTCATAATATATGTTCTAATTATAGTTTTCAAACTTATTGTTGTGTGCTATTATCTCAAGGATGAAAATTTAATGTTGCATTACAACTATTAAAAAGCATGCACTAATGCACTAAAAATTGCAAAATATGCATAAGAATATGCTTTGAAAATCCTAAATATATAATTTAAAATTAAAAAAACATAATAATCGTTTTAGATTCTGAGCAATGAATGTATTGATATCAGGTACAGCGTATATTTCTGTGTGAAGACACACAAGAGAATTTAGAAAAATTACCTAATTCAACAACTTTTGAGGAAGATTTCTGAAAACAAATTGGATCTAGTTTATACTAAGTCCATTAAAATGGTTAAAAAATTAACATTTTTCAGTACTTTTTAAAATAATTGGAAAAAACAAAAAAAATAATTATTATTGTTAAATTAATTATTTGACAAATTTTTAAAATTGTGTTTGAAAATATAAACAAAATATATAAACAAATAAATATGCAAACCAGTTGCGAGTTAAATAGTTATTAAATTGGCAAATGCAGATGATACTTTCATCTAACTTAATTTAGATATAGCAAAAACGTTTAGTAAAAAATAAGTATGTTTCATTTCACGGATAATTTTAATATTTCTAATTATTTAACTATTACAGATAAAGACACTTAAACATGAATACAACGATGCAATTTGAGCTCACCTTATGAGGGGGTGATTAAAACTTATGATACAAGTGAACGTTGTTCCATTATGCACATTTTAATGAATCTATTAAGTCGTTTTCAACAATAATAAAAAACAATATTAGTAAATGTATAATATACGTATACGCATACGCATAAATATAATAATATTCTTTAAAAGATACAATTAAAGTACACACAAAAATTAAGACTCATTAAATTTGCCACTACACCGTTATTGATTTTTATGTAATAATATTAATAATAATAATGAGATTTTATGAACACACAAATGGAATTTGTTTCACAGGAACGGTGTGTATCGATATTTTCAAAAAATATCAAAGTTTTTTTCTTTTGAATGAGAATTCTACAACCAATGTAACGCGCGGTACAAGCACACCAACAAAAGTTTGGTAAATAACAACATTATTACAACGTTATTTAGTTTTAACCTTACAAGTTACATACTTACTCGAAAACCGGACGATTGAAAAATCGGCAAACCTGGTCTTTCTGTTGTATCGACGTCAGGGAGAGCAATTGGAGCGTAAGTTCAAACAAAGAGTAAAAAGAAAACCAGCATTAAATAAATGAAAAAGATTAAAAAAATAAAATTACTTGGTTAACGGGTATGGCACAACTATGGCGGACGGCAAACAATAGTATGACATTATAACTCGGTGACCGCGCAAGATGAGTCGATCTACAAACACATGTTGCCATTTCGAGTTGCGCAGATTACAGCATCTCATACTATTTTCTCCAAGGAGAATAAATTTAAAAAATATATTATTATGTTTTTTAACGGTTGTCATTTGTTGCACGACGAAGCGCGGCGATAGCGTCAAGATAACATGACAAATAGATAACGAGCACACCAGCTCTGTCCAATGAGAGAACGCGTAGCGGCGTGCCCGCCATAATCGGTACGGCTTGGCGCATCCTCTAGCTTACTCAGCCCGCAGCGCTAACGCCTACGCCCTACACCGCCCTACGATCGACAGGGAGCTCCTATATCCTGTGGAAGTGCGGCACGGCTCGATGACGTCATGTTGTTGATCACGGAGCGTTGACGTTGGATCCATCGGCCGTCTACGGTACGTTCTGAGAGGGAGGAACGACACCTCAAGCAATTGCTCGGTCGTCAGTCTGCATGCATGTGCAGCGTTGTCGCTTTCTCTCGGTGGACAAAGTAAACAGTACGTAGTGTTAAGCGCCCACCATCCGCCCCCTATAGGCCACATATCTGAATTATTTGTATTCGACTTGCCTCCATTGTTTAAGTCTTGTTGGTCGACCGAATGACGCTATCACACAGTACCTACACGACTCGCATTACATTTTTGTATGTTTAAAGGATATTTCCTTACTTATTGTATTTAATGTTTATTCATTTTGTAGATCAGTTTAATTAGATTACTTTAATGTCCTTTAGGTAAATCAGCTGTACTGACAATAAACACTGGTAAATTATTTTAAGAAACTAATCTATGCAAGCCAAATAAAGAGGTATTACGTTAACATAAGATATATGTAATATTGTTTAAAGTAATTAATATAGCAATTTATTTAAAATAATGTTTAACTGATTTGATTCTTGTAATGGTATCTATAAGAATTTAACAGTCATATTATTTTTTTTGTTGTTTTTTTTAATTTCAAGATTTGATTAAATTGTATATAGGTGCAGTAATTTCACCAAACACTAATGGGCTTAAAAAGCAAATGACAATCACATCATCTACTTTATTTTCAAATGATTTGAAATGAAATATAAAAGATTAATGAAATAAATAATGTTAAAATGGAAATAATTAATTTGGAAAAAAATATATTTATCTCAAAATTTTTTTTAATAACTGATGTAAAAAATACAAGAAGCAGTTTAAATGAGTTTACAAATAAATAAACTCACTTAGCAAGTAAATATTATGTAACTAATTACAAAAAATTTATATTTAATCCTAAAATTTTAAAACACTACAGGTTTAGATGTTATCAGATATTCCTTGTTACTTTTGATGAAGATATTTATAACAGCTCATTTTAAGCTTTAGTGATAAAAATTTAACCAAGTTTCAAAAACTATTGTTAAGATTAAATTTGCCATTTGTTGATCTATATTATTGATATAATATAACTTCTTCAATTGGTTCAATAATTTTCTGTAATGTCATAGATAAAGAGACTAATCTATGTAACCCCAAAAAAAAGGTATTATGTTCTTTCATACTTATTTTTTAATGAATTTAGTAATTCAGCTCAGGTGATTATTGTTTGTTTCAAAATTGGATTAAAAAAGCTGAACCGTAAACTTGATTTTCTTACAAAAATAAAAACACTTTTTTATAATAAATTGCTCTAAGTGTATTATTTATTTCCAAATGGAATGATAAGTTAAGTGACAAATATTATAGAACACTGTAATTTATTAAACACTTAATTACGAATATATGCAGTTTTAGCCAATAAACGATTTACTACAAATTAATTTTCTAGTTTTTATTTTGCTCCTCTAAAAATTACTTGAACAAAAAGTAAACTATAGTTACATCTATGTTTTATCAAAGATACAAAGAAAATTATATGTTTTAAGTTACATATTCAGCGAATTTTGAACTTATATTTAGGTAAGAAATTCTTAATGGATACCTGCAGACACCAGTATAATATGTTGAATTTTTTTAATTATATTTTCAAATTGAAAAAAAAATTGTTGAAATGCTGTGAATAGTAATTTATTATATATACAAATATATATGAGTTGTAGTAGTTTGAACTTAATTGTATTGTTAAATTATTATTTTCTAAATGTTTGTACTGGATGATTGAACATACTTACCTTTTTTCTTCAATAATGTTTTATGTATGATGAGTTTTTATGTTACTTATGGAGTGTTTTGTAGAAATATAAACTTCTATATTTTAAAATTAAAATTTTCTTTTGTACTACGAATTATTTAACAGCTAAATTATTTAAAAACTTAACATATTTTGAACAAAAAGTTGTTTAACTTTGTCTACAAAGGATAATATATCCATAATAATGGGTTTAAAAGATAATGGTGATTATAGTGACTTGAACTATTTGGTAGCAAACAATAATTTATTAACATTTAAAATTTGAAAAATGAACCAAGTATAATAAACACCGGATCCAATACTATGTGTAATTTATATTTTTTTTTATAATTATTTTAAGGCTCAGCCTTAATATTTTGATAACTGGATAACTATTAGTTCAAATTTTGGATTAGATATATTAAAGATATAAAAATGTGTGTTCACTAAATTATTGACAAGGTAATTTTTATTTGGAAAAACATAAGTTTGTATAACTATAGTATACCATCAAGTAATAAAAGAAATTTCAAGAATTTGAATAAATTCATTATCAAATGAAAAGTTGAGGATAAACGTGCTTGGTGAATTACCTCATATATATAATAGTGTGTTTTATTTACAGAATTTACATTTCCATTTTTAGGTTGTTAATATATGTTTGATTCCAAGGCAATTTTAACAGTACCATAAAATTTAGATTACCATTTCTAGTACACACATCACGAAAGTGTTATATTTTGTTTGCATGAATTTTAGTGATATTATCTTAAATTATTTTATACTTTAGTTTTATTCACTTCTCAACTTTCATTAGATTTAAAATTATTAATAATTATTAATTAAGTAATTCAGGCAAAATATCTTTGTAAGAAAACTAATTGAATTTTTTTGCTATTTCATTGTTAATCACAATACATTCTACACATAAATTATTTAGTGACCATACTACAAAATAAAATCTTCATATCTAAAACTACTCAATTACCAAGAATATTTGGTTTTGAATTTAATTAAAACATTTATGTATGCTTTTTAGTGTAAGGGAATATCTATTTAGTATTAATATTATCACATTGTTTAAGAAATATAAACAAAGTAAAATAATATTAATATGAAATACTATGCTTATGAATGAATAACGATCATATTTTAAAATTTGTATGCATATTTTTATTAATAAAATGTTGACCAATAAAAATGGTTTCCTTTACTCTGAACGTTTTAAAATATGTATGTAAAAAACAAAGGAAGTGGGGTAAATGAGCATAATACACATATAATTGAAGTCATGACCTTGATTAAGGTTATATGGACAATTTGTTTATAATACTCCTGCTACAACATTCACAGTCCATTTGGACTTGTTCCAATAAATGGAAAGTATGAATAACTATCAATCTTCTAATTTTATCAAAAAGTGTATAAGGTTTTTTTTAGATTCTCAGTGTAAAATGCTTTAGCATACTTCTAGTAATTTCACTATATTAAGTAAATCAATTGAAATTTGTACACTTTATCATTAAACACATTGTTTAAAAAAAATTCTGACATTTATTCAAAATGCATTATTTCTTTTTTTTTGATAACAGTATTTTTATATAGTTGTTATATTTCAAAATAATATACCTTAGAATAAGTAATATGAAGTTTGATTGCTGAATAATAATTATTCTATGACACTATAAAGACCAAAGATTTCATAGCTGATACAACCATGTCTCAGTGATTAATAATTTAAGAATAATGTTAAAATTTAAAATAAAATGTAAATGTTCGCCTGTTAAAAATTTGTATCATATAGGTGAAGGTGAATATAACTTTATTCAGAAAGTCAAAAAGTGCTTTAAATTGCAATTATTGCTTTATATCTTAAAATAAAAATATTTAAAGAAAGCAACTTGACCAATTCTATTTATTATTTTTTATTTAGTAAAAATAAATTCAAATGAAATATATAGTCTATAACTGTAAAAAATATTACTACTAATTACCCCATATGTTATTGAACGAATATTTTTGTTTGATAATCTTAGATGTAGTATATTAATATGTGCACATGATATCAGAAAAAAAACATTAATTACAATGACTTCTGTGTTTTATTAATCAGTTGTTTAAAATAAAAATTCATAGTTAAGGTTAATTTGTATAATGTTTTAAAATTCAAAATTAAAATCAATAAAAAAAATAACAAATATTTAGTGTATCTTTAAATAAATATTCAAAATAGAAGACAAACAATAAAACCATTTAATGCTTTTTAAATATGTTAATTAAAAATATTATCTGAGAAATAAAAAGTAACCTTCCTTGGTTATGTATATACGTACTGATATATAAATATAAATTTGTGTAACATTATATTAAAAAAAAATTACAAACTACATTATTTTAAGTTATAGTTGAGTATTATTACTATTACAATATATTATCCTTTAATCGGATTCATCGTCTGAAATAACAATATAATCGTCTTCTTCATATGATTTCTTTTTTATAATATCATCTGTTTTGACGATTTCTTCTTTAATATTTAATTCAGAGTCATTAGTATCAGAAGAAGTAGAGGATTGCATTCGCATAAGATAATCACTACGTTTATTTAATAGAGATCTAATTTCTTCATATTCTTTACTCATATGTGCAGTCTTTCCCTTTTTTTGAGGATTGCCTTGTTTTTTTAAGTTTAAGATCTGATCATCCAGTTTTTGGAGTCCTTTTTTTTTCATTTGGTAAGCATGACCTACACGGGCTCTTTCTAATAACGTAGTTAAATGATTTTTGTTCATTTTTCGTAAATTTAATAGCTCATTATCACATTTGATAATCTCTTCAAGAATTTCATCATTGACATTGGCAACCTGAGATTGTGAATGAGGTTGACTTGAAGGTGGTGTTACTGGCTTGCTTTGATTACCAACTAACCCTAATTTCTGTAGTTGCTTTCTAATATTTTGTTCCCCATAGAATTCTTTACAAACATTACTCATTTCTTCTGGTTTGTCTTCATTGTCACTATCAGTGACACTATTATCATCAATGTCCTTTTGAGACATATTTGAATGCTCTAAAAGAGCTGCAATAACTTTTTGGTATATTGGTGTTGATTTATTACCATTGTACATAGCATTATTAGTTTTATTAATCAATTCTACCACTTCAGGAGATATTCGATCAGTTAATTGAACATTTAAATTTGGCTGATGAGAGCTTGAAGCCTGTTGTTTTTTTGTATTTAATTCTTGATGTGCCCAACGTTTTGTATAATGTATACCTAAAGGTGGTATTTTACTCAATTTAGAGTCATAAGACAAAACCAAATTTTCTAACCAATTGAGATCTTCTTCAGTTACATCAGCAAGATAAGGATCAACCAGAGACCAAAATTTTTCTGCTGATTCAGTTTTGTCTGGAGGTAATTCTTCTGGGTCAGAAAATTCATATCCAATGTTGGTCAAGTTCAAAGAAGATTCATCATTGTGAAATATTTCTTCAGCAACTTTTGCTTTGATTATAGGTGTTTCAGAGTTATTTTCATTTTTAATTCGAGAAGTAATTAAATTATAATCATTTTTGATTGTTTTTTTGCGCACAATTACATCAGATAATAATGATTCAAATTCCCACTGAAGGCGATCTAATTGATCATCTGTTATACTTTGTTCACCATTTTCATCTTGACTTATTAATGACATGATTGCTGAATCACGTTTAAATTCATGGGGTTTTAATCTGGTTAACAAAAGTACTTTTTCTTCAACAGCTGCATGCATTTGTACAGTTGATGTACTTTGAGCTGCAGTGTCATCAGTTTTCAGTGTATTAGATGGCAGTGTTTGATGTGATTTTGGACCTTTTCTAGCAGATTTTTCGCTACCTTTTGTTCCTCCACCTCGTTGAGATTGTTTCTTAGGAGACATAATTGTTTTTGTGTTATACTTGATAGCAACCAAGCCTGTTGATTAAAAAATACATGGATTTATTAATTTATTAAAAACTATAATCAATTTTTTCTTGAAAACAGCATTAAAAAATGTTGTTATGTGTATAAAATATATCATTGTATGTTAAAAGATTCAAGTACCCACAAATAATATTCTTAAACTATATTCTTCATTTAACTAATTTTGTCCAAATTTTAAATTAAAATTTCAATTATAACAAACTATTAAAATTTAAAGTTGTATATATTTTAGATTTTTTGATTTTATTTATGAGGAACTTTGTATTCAATTTTTAACCCAACTTATAAAAATTTAATATTTCATATATTTTCTACAACAAAATAAATTGTAATTATAAATTTGACAAATTTTGAAATTAACTTTTTTATTCAAAATCAAAGCATTTTTATTGCTTCAAAAGTTGACGATACAATAATAAAAAAAACAAATATTGTTATAAAATCAATATATTCATCATTTCATACAGAATCTAAAATAATATTTTAATAATCATAATTTATGCATTAAAATATTGTTTATAAGAACATACACTTAAGTGTATAAAAACTTTAAATTACAGAAAATATGATAGATTACAAAAAAACTGAAAATGATATGAATTAAATAAAAATATAAATATGTATGTAATATGTTTGAAGAACAACTATTTCAAATCTAATTTACTAACTACTAAAGCTGAAATCGTCAAACTACAGCTTGCAGCAGTGGTGCCCAAGATTTTGAAAGGGGGAGGGGGTTCAAAGAAGATTCGGCTGAACACTATTGTAGGTCCTAGACCAGAGATTCCCAAACTATGGGTCGTGGGTCATGTTATAGTATAGTTGAAAAGACAAAAAAAATAAATATCATCAGATAAAAAAATTTGCTACTCTTATTAATTTCTCTTGAACCGATGGACGGGTTAATCTCTATCCCTCCTAGACACGTCACTGGCTTGCAGAAAAATTTTAAATGGCCTACATAGTATAGCAAATAACCCAAAAAACATACTATTCATATTACCTAGTTTATTTATATTGAGGTTTTTAATAAAGTAACATTTTCATAGTATAATTTTTCCTTCAAATAATAAACATAATTCTACAATAAATTAGTTTAAGAATGAGAAAAATACACAACACTAAATCAAAATATTTCTTTATCCTTTTCTAAACAATAATGTACCATAAAAACCATTAAAAGATGAACTTATTTATAATATTTATTTAATATTTAATTTAATTTAAGTAATATTTTAGACCCATGTGGAACATAAATAAAATGAATTATATAAAATTGTTTTTTATGATTTTTGAACTATCTAAAGGAAAATCATCTTTTAAAAAACATAAAGGATAATATTTTTGGGGGCTTAAAATATTTATTTCATATTTTATTATTGATTGACTTTAAAAATAAAAACAATTATTTGAAAATTTAAATCAATAGATGAATATTATATTGTTTTGAGACAATAATTAAACCAATTGATATGTCATATCTTCATAAATATTATCTTCTTTAACTTTTGTAATGAATGATTTTACTCTAAAATCATTAACAATATATAAAAAAAATTATTTTATGTAAATTGCTTTTTCATGTTTGAATGAGCCAAAAAAATAAAACACTCCGAGTGCTGACATCTTCTTAATATGCATCTCATTTAAGAACTCTATCTGTTATTAACAATAGCATTAACTACATGCAAATTTTATGATGCAATATTATTGTTTATCATTAGGTACCAAGACATTTTAAAAATTACTTTTTCTATCTTAAATACTTAGGAAATATTTATATTTAATCTATATGAATAGAGCAATGAATAGTAATTAAATAGTTGGTTTGCAGTAACTCAAATATTAATAATCTGTAATACATCATGTCGTCGGATATTTTTAAGTTTTTAGAGTTCATATTGTTATAAAGTCTAAAATAAATGTTTAATGTTACAGTATTTTTATTCAAGAATTTAGTTCTAGTAAAATTATTTATTGTTACGTGAAAAGTGGTCAAACAACAGTTTTTATACATACCCGATAAAAAAATTTAAATCTATTATAATAGTTGTTGTATGGCTTTAATACCAGACAGCAATCTGTTTTGAGGATCATTAAAGAAGGAGTGATTAGACAGTGATTATAAGGTAATTAGTGTCATCATGATTACAATCAACTTATACAATTGATAATAAATGTAGCATCACAATAATTACGTTAATCATATTATATTTTAGCTGTTACAATAATTGTTTGAACAAAAAATGATGAGGTATGAATACAATGGAATATAGTATAGGAAAAGCTGACCTCTCTGAATCGAGACGATTCGATAAATTTTAAGTTATTTTTTTTAAGTTACATTCATTTTTGTTTAAAAATCATATTATTATTAATACATAAAAATCATGATCCAACTCACATAGGACGGAGATGATCACCTCTCAGATTTTAAACAACGACGCCCACGGTACCTACACGTGGTCTATAAGCGAAGTATATGGCAAATTACGTTATTGTCAATCACAGACTTACTTGAAAACTAGACGATCGAGTAAATGAATTCCAGCCGCTCAAAAACAGACGAGTCAAATCGATTTGCATGTGTCCGCGTCAATGAGAGCGTTAAGACAATGGGATTTGAACTATTTGAAGCAAAACATCGGAATCGCTCACGATGATAAACTATTTTACTATTATTCGCCGGACACACATAAAAGTAAATAGCAATTAGACGAACGAATGCAAAAATAAAGATAATAATATATAGTTTGATTTTGATAGGCGCCAACTTAACCATAGAATGAGTCGAACGACGTTCGGTGACCAGACAAGGTTATACTGTGATACACCGAGTCCGGCGGCAAATAACTGATATCACAAATCTGGCCGGGACAACAGCCTGCTTTGCTGACAAACGTGATAGAGTGCATCACGTGTTCCCATGGTTGCGTATATAGCAATAATCAATAATAAATAATAATAAAATATAATAATATTATGTATGGTTAAAGTACAATACCTACAAATGTATGATAATTGATTATCATCTAAAAACACTATCAGTCACAGTTGTTACTTGTAAAATGTTTATAGAGAAATGATCGACGAGCGACAAGATGATGGCATTATGGTAGTCGAATTTCATGTTCTTTTGCGATTAACATTTTGTCATAAACAAATTTTAAACATAGTATTAAAATAAAATAATAGAATTATTATTATTCAATTATGTTATTTAATCAACGGGCTCAACATAATATTTCATATTATAGCAGACTAGCAAGGAACAGAAAGAAATTAGATAGGTACTAATTTATAAAAGACCGGACGATTAAAACATTAAAATAATAAACAAAGTTGAGAAAAAAATTTGTCACCATTTACCATAAATAACCTACTCCGCGTCAATAGTAATTAGTTATGTATTATTTTTGTATCAAAAATTTACAAACTACCAAGTTGTTACGAAAAAAATTCGGCTGCATCCTGCTCGCTCATCTTTTTTTATCTGACCAGTGCTACATTTTCGAATTGGTTCATAAAATGTTATATTTTATCTGTAATTATAAATTAAGTTGTTTGTAGAATATAATATTGAACGAAATTATTCAATGCGACGTTTTTCGTCGAATTCAAGATTCATCGTCTTTTATCGAAGTACCTATACACGACGGATGTAATATGCCGCGTTTTCATCTGAGATGGAAAACACCAGCCGGCTTGCATTTTGGCGTACGAACGCCAGAATAATAAAAACGCAAACTCCTAATTTTAAATTGTTTAAAATTAGGATAAGCTACGCTGGTGATGGAAAACGTCGCGTTTATACCATAATTTTATGATTATAATATTATATTCAATATTTTATCTATTTACTTAAATTACCTGCTCAATAAATAACATTATAAATTAATAATAAATAGATTTGTACTATTCGAATACGATAATGCAGGTACAATAATTATGAGGTTTACCATTTTTTTAGATATTGTACAGATATACGCGACCGAATACAATCGACGGATACGCCTTGCATAGCTACTAGCTCAGTGGTTTTCAATCGCTGTGTTGCGGGCGTTGCGGCACACTGGTGTGCCGCGATAAATCTATTGATTGAGTTAATTTTGTATATATATATATATATGTATTATATGAATTGGTGTGCCGCAAACATTTTGTAGAAGAAGAAGTGTGCTACATCTAACATTATTAAAAAGGTTGAAAACCACTGTAACTAGCTAGTCCGTTGGAGTACGCGGCGTTCGAAATGCGATGAAATACGCCGTGTATAGCCCGGAAGTCGCACCCGCAAGTGTTGTCTCCGTTTTACACACGTAAGATATAGTAAATTTTCATTCATCAGTTTCAATAGAGTACTTTTAATTTTGATATTAGAGTGAATTGACCTATTATCAAACTTTTAGTTAAGAACATTATCTGTGTTCTCTCGTTGGTTTTTTACGATATTTTAATTTTTAAGTGAGTTATGAGTATTTTAAAGTATTTATATTTTTCATACTCATAACAGTCATAACTCATAACTCATTTAAAAATTAAAATATCGTAAAAAACCAACGAAAGAATGATTGAAACTGATGAACAAAAATTTACCATGTCGTGTGTATATAAGACGGAGACAACATATGCGGGTGCAAAATATTTTTAGATATATATTATATCCACAGTGGCATAGCTGTAATAAGATATAATTACTTATATTAAAATTAGTTATCTTTAATGACTTTTTTTTAAGTTCTAAAAATTGGCCTTCTATTGTGACTGAGTTGTTCATTCCTATATTTTACCATTAATGTATTAAATATGATTAGAGAATGACATGAAATTAATCTAAATCTTTTAAAAATTGCATTGTATGTATAAAATACAGTAATAAAATAATATACATAAAAGTTTCAAATCTTCAGGAAAAATATTTTTGAATGATAACAAAATAATAATAATTTTTATCGGAAATAATTAAAAAAAAATTATACTTAGAATCAATGAAAATTTTTAATTTAAAAACAATTACATTGTATACGTATTAAGTATGATGGTCATAATTTATTTGTTTTACGGAGTATTTATGCATCATATTCAGCGTGAAGCAGATTTTCATTTTAAAAAATATTCAAAAAGTTAGATTTTGGAAATTATTTTTTCCCCTTTTTATTGGTATGTACTTATGTATAACTTCTAGTGTGAAAAACCTGGAAAGTCTCTCTGTTGTATAGTAGATGTCGTCATTTGGTAGGTCACTGTAATAGTTGTATTTTGTATTAAATTGAAATTTAATGATAAATTATTGCACACATGAAAAAATGATTGAGTGAACAGCAGAGACAGCAATTCGATCAGCTCTTTATCTAAAAATATTTTAAATATTGAATTATATTACCATTTGTAATTATTAATTTTTCATCAATAATTTGTTAGTTTGAACTAATTTTTCCAAAAATAAATCACTTATTTTGTATAATAATATATACATAATGTTTATTATTGTTATTATTAACTTATTATAAATTAATATCAATAGACAGTACTAGATGTACCTACTATATAAATTATAATAGTATGAATAAATAATGAGCGGTGTGTTTAACTAGCTTAAAAATAGTCTAAATTTAAAATATCTTTGTTATTATTTATATTTTATTTTATTATAATTTATCGTCGTATAATACATAATATAGTTATGAAATAAAGTGCCAATACCTAACAAACTATTTATAATTTTTAATTTTAGAGGACGTTACACACGTTCAAATGTATTGGTAAAAAACGTTTAACACAGGAAAGAACTGAGAAGGCTACAGTTACAACTAAGAAACGAAATTTTCATAATATAAAAAAGAGAGCTTGAGCTGTAAATTTTCGTATTTATTTTTTCGATATCAATAATACCAAAAAAAAAATTAGTTTGTCCAAAATCCATTATTGAAGTGTTTTTTTAAACTTAAATAATTTCTTTTTTGGTTCTGATATTAAACAAATTAAAACGATATTTTACATTCAAAGTTCTTTTTTAATATTATAAAAAATGTTTAGCTATAAACTTATAACTTATAACTGTTACCTTCTTGTTATTTTTCACATGGCACTCATATCAGTTTTAACGTAAACATTTCAATTTCACTAAATATTTTTAACAATAATGTTACGTTTTGTATGTTGTAACAGTGAATGCGATTATTTTCTTAGCATAATAAAACGGAATGGCATCAGCTCGTATCTAGGCCGCACCATGCGTTGCCACTATCGGTATTTATAACGAGTAAACGAGTATAATTAATTCAATAAATGATTTTTAAATGAAATTATTTAATTTTAGTATTTGCGAAAATTTGCAAATTGTTTTGTAAACAATTGAAAATTCGTATAATTTTTAATATTTATACCTAAGATTTAAAAATTCAATATAAGGTTAGATTGTGGGATTAGTTTTAGTGGGATCCATTGTTTGGCGACAGTGCTGAGAGAAAGCGACAGCAGTGTTGAAATAATTAGTAAACTGAATTGAGAAGAAGGCAGTAAAATGTATCCTTACCCTATTATTCTAATTTTATTATAAACATGATTTTTTGAAATCTGATAAATCATTTTGAAACACAGTGTATAATTATAACTAACTGATTATATCATGCAAATAATGTACAATATATTTACCAATAAAATTAAAAAGAAAAATTGAAAAATAATTAGTTAATAATTTATTATTATGTATTTACAATTTTTACACTCATAAATTATATGGTCATCTAAACAAGACAATAGATCATAAAATATTCCTTAAAACAATATGTCAAATTAAAAAAAAAAAACTTATAATAGTTTTATAATAATTATACTTATAATAGCTGATCATAATACAGTGTAATATATGTTCTATACTTACTTGATTTTGAGTATCATTTACTAATTAAATTACTCGACTGTACAATTTATACTATCTGTCCAGCATTAGATGCTGATGCAATATTTGTTTGTTGTTTTTTAGAATTTTTAAACAATATTGAACCTTGATACTTTTTTTTTTTTGTTCTTTATTTGAGTAAAACAATCTATACAAATTATGTATGACAACGATAAGCTTAAGTGTTAAGAAAATTAAGGTTACAACCAGAAAATATAAAGGAAAAGCCGATCATTGACGACACTCCACGAACCTTGAGATTAAAAAAAAAAAAAAGTAAAAATCATTTCTGTTTTTATTCTGTAAGTTGAATAATACGTTAATTTTCTCCATTAATATTTTAAAATATCTTGTTAAAAAAAAAAAAAAAAAAATTACTACAAAAAATATTAGCATAGAAATATTTAAATTGTAGTTGTTCAGATTTAAGCAAGTTTTAAATTTAAATTATTTAACTGCAGTTAATACATGGTTTATTTATAATTATAAGTCATAAATGATTAACAAAATAGTTATTACTTGTCATCAATATTGTGATTAAATAAGTAAAAATGTATTAGTTTATAAATCTCTTTTGCTTGTATTAAGAAAAATATAATAATTTAAGTATTATTATTATTAATATTATATACAACCATATTTTTTAAGTTGTATAGTTTTTTAATTTTTACAGAGAATAATCATAATTTAAATTTAATATGCAATGGAAAGATAATATTTATTATTCTGTACTCTATAATAAATTATTAGTTGAATGCATTACAATAATACTGTGTTTTAGATTTTATTTTGTATAGGTATAAGATACATAAAATACAGATATTATGATAGTTACTTTTCTTAAGTTTCTTTGATGTCTTAAGTTTTTTTTTATTAGTTTCGTTTGTTGCTTTTACTC